CCGTGAAGGGTGTGATTACCGATCGGTAATTTCGACAGTTTAGAATTTAAAATTTTTTATGGAACTGTTGCGAGTTTCATAAAGAATTTAAGGAATATAAGCAAAGATTTGAATCAAAATCTTAGACCTAAGCCGCTCGATTCGCTCGCAGCTTCCGCGAATTACAGATCAGCAAAGATTTGAATCAAAATCTTCGAACTAAGCCGATCGCTTCGCTCGCGGCTTTCTTTATTATTTTAAATTTGCATATTTCCATCAAAAGTTCATAAGGTAAAAAATTTCGTTTATTTTTACTAAGAAAAAAAAGGTTTTTGATAATAAATTAATTTTATTTCGAAAAAGTAGCAATAATCGTAAAAGGGTATTGATAGGCTTGCTAAAGTAACTAATTTTAGCTGTCAAATACTTTTGTATTTTGAAGTAAATTAGTATAAATTTGTTTTTACTTTTATTTCGAAAAAGTAGCAATAATCGTAAAAGGGTATTGATAGGCTTGCTAAAGTAACTAATTTTAGCTGTCAAATACTTTTGTATTTTGAAGTAAATTAGTATAAATTTGTTTTTACTTTTATTTCGAAAAAGTAGCAATAATCGTAAAAGGGTATTGATAGGCTTGCTAAAGTAACTAATTTTAGCTGTCAAATACTTTTGTATTTTGAAGTAAATTAGTATAAATTTGTTTTTACTTTTATTTCGAAAAAGTAGCAATAATCGTAAAAGGGTATTGATAGGCTTGCTAAAGTAACTAATTTTAGCTGTCAAATACTTTTGTATTTTGAAGTAAATTAGTATAAATTTGTTTTTACTTTTATTTCGAAAAAGTAGCAATAATCGTAAAGGGTATTGATAGGCTTGCTAAAGTAACTAATTTTAGCTGTCAAATACTTTTGTATTTTGAAGTAAATTAGTATAAATTTGATATTATTTTAACTCCCTTTGAAAACCTCAATTTTCCATACAGAGGGAACGGGAATAGCATCCAATATTCCCTGAGAATGGTTGCGCATTCTCAGTTCCCTCTATATTTCGAACGAAGCTCTCATCGGTCTTTTTTTAATACTAAACGTTTTTTTTCCTGTCACTTTTAGCTAAAATTTGGGTTTGCCGTTTCGATCCAACATACAGTATCATAGTTATACCGAAGCAACAACATGTTCTCACATAAACAAATAATTCCTTCACTCATAATTACTGATTTTAAATCTTATTTTAAGTTCAAATTTCAAAACGTACTATTTACTTACAGTATCATAGTTATACTGAAGCAACAACATGTTCTCACATAAACAAATAATTCCTTTTGCTTATTAATACAGAATTTATAAATTTCTTACATTTCTTGTGAAATATTAAGAAATTTATCTTTCTAACACATTGCTAATTTACTCTATCTATTATATTTCATAATATAATAAAAAGTAAAAGTAAATAATCAATAAATTAAGCGTTTATTTTGAAAAATTTAAAAATTATAAGATAATGTGGACTTATTCATGCTTGATACTTCTTTTTGCCAGGTTTAAAACTGTTTTTAATGAGGGAAGTAAAACACTTGGTTCGATTTCGCGACTTTCCAAAATTGATCTGATCTGATCAATTAAATTCAAGCACTCGTCAAATTTCCTTTCCCTTTCTTCGACAATCGAACTTCCAGCTCTTGTGGATTATCTTAAAAATTTTGCGTTTTTTTGGAAAAAAAATGTTTAAACCGAGTACTTTCTGACACAAAATCCACAATGTCATAAACTTTGAAAGATTAAAAAATTACTTTCAGAAAGTTTACAAATATATACTTTCAGACAAAAAGATTTTTAATCTTTCAAACTTTTTTTTAGTCAGCCTTATATTAATTTTGATATCTATCCCAAACACATTATAATAAATATTCACCAAGCAAATCAGAATCACAGAGAAATAATGGAGAAGCTTGATAAAAAGAAGCCAGAAAGAGAAAAAGAAAGTCCATCGTAAATTCCCATTTGCATCAAAATCATCTTCTTCATCGAGTTCTTCAAGCTCTCCCAGTTCATCTAGCTTATCTTTCTCATCAAGTTCTTCATCTTCATCTTCTTCAAGCTCTTCTTCCTATTCTTCCAGTTCATCTATATATTCAGATGAAGAAGTCTTTGTTATTAATACATTAACTCCTAGTTATGTATCAATTTGCTATGAATAATGTTCGAATGACAACGAAAACTGTTTCGAAGGATTCATCTTCTTCATTATCATCCTCATCCGATGTTTTAAGTAATAAAATATTAATATTTTTATTTGAAATTTAAAATTGATAATGTAATAATAGCATAAACAAAAATACATGTATATGTTTTAAAAAATGATATTTTAATTTTTCTGACATATGATTATGAACTCTGAGAAATAAAGATTTTTTCCGATTGACTTTGCACATAATTCTGTCAGATATTTGAATAGAAGAAGTAGGTGTTCGAGAAGGATCTACTTTGTTTGGTATTAAATCATTTGAGAATTGTATTACATAGGGTGCAAATAATGCGCAAAAATTTTGGAGTTGATCATTATTAAAAATCAAATCCATTAATATAGAATAGCAGCAGCTGCATATTCAAAAAATATACATATGTCAATATTCATTCAATCGCAGCAACAACGTCAAGAACATAAGAATTTCATCAGGGAGTGTTGCTCTTATTGAATCATTTTCATCCAACAATGTATCCGACTTCAATATATCAACTTCCCATTTTCTGTTAAAAATATTTCAATATTTGCATTCAATGAATGCACATCAATTCGGTGTCAATCTATCTTTGAGAATATATCTCCATACTACGTCAAAATTATTGAAAGATCAGGAATTTCTCTCAAGCCCAGAATCGTCAAAAATATATGTAAAATGTATACAATAATTCAGCCTTTATTTTCAAATAATAAAATATAAACATTCGCGTATTTAATTGATTTGATAAGCATCGCTATAGGATATTATATTGAGATCACAAAGTTCATGTCTATGAATTTAGCCTATAGACGAAAGTTTTTGTTATAGGATTGTTTTTTAAAAAATAAAATAGAAAATAGACATTTTTAAACTGAAAAGACATTTAAAAACCTTGAAATGATATTATTATTTTCGAGCATTATTATTGGTACTGAATTAAAAACTAATTAACTCACCAAAAATGAAATTCCTGCAAAGTCCCTTGATTCAATGCATCGTCAGAAAAATAACTCCGTAGGTCCATATAATATTTTTAATTAAGGATGTCGCTTTGCGAAAAAAACGGATATGCTAGCAACTTTCTCCAAATATCCTATATCACGATATTTGGCACTTTTCTACCTCGCTTTATTGGCACTTTTTAAAAATGAGAATAATGATATTTATGATATTTCCATTTTTTCTGTGAACACTAGTTTAAAGGTATCAAATAAATAATAAATTTCACGATTTTATTGATTTTTAGTGAAGTTGCTACTTCCATTCAATTTTTCGTGCTATTTGGCCGGGTTTTTGTCAGAATCGCACGTTTTTATTTTATGATTTTTGGAATCTACATATATAGGTAAGCTTATAGAACCCCCATGATATTTTGTCAAAAATGCGATTTGCGATTGTCAAATATCAGTAGTATATATGACGGGTTTTGTGACTTTTTTTGTTACATCTATATATAGACGATGCATTAAATTATATTTATTTATAAATCATTAAAAAATTAACATTATTTTTAAAATAATTTATTTTTTTATTCTGACATAAATGACCCAACAAAGTAAAACCAGATAAAATAGATTATCGAATTTTAGAGGATGGTGTTCCTGTTTATATTCAAAGATTTAAAGGGAAGCAATATTATAGAATTGTTAATCCTGAATACATAAAACATTTATTTAAAAAGGAAGACTGTGAATTATTAAACGCTAATGAATATGAAACCAATAAATCAAAATTGAAATATAAATATATTGGAAGTGATGAAAGGTGTAAAGATAAAGATAAAGTTTATTCAGTTTCATATAATGAATGGAAAACCAATAAGATAAGAAAACATTTAGGAGATTATGGGAAATGTTCTGAATTCTTTAAATCTAGTATATACGAGAGAGTAAAAGAAATTAGAAATAATTATTTTCATGAATAAAAGATTCACTACCATAATGAAATAAAATGATTTATTTTTTTATCTTTTATAAAAGAAGCTATATATAAATGATGTCAGATATTCCGCGATTAATTAAACATTGTTTAAATCCTGAATGGGTTAAACTTCAATTAAAAAATGAAGATTGTGAATTATTAAATGAATATGAAAGCCAAAATAAGCTAATGAGGTATAAATATAATGATAAAGAATATTTAATTTCATGGAATCAATGGAGTCATAATCAAAGACCTCATAAACGAGAAGAAGAAATTGAAAATAACGAAATGGAAATCATTGATGACATTAAAGAGGATGGAATTCCTAAATTTTGTAGAAAAACCTTTAGAACTAAGTTAGGAGCATATAAACGTAGAGTATTAAATCCTGAATACATAAAACATTTATTTAAAAAGGAAGACTGTGAATTATTAAACGTTAATGAATATGAAAATGCTAAATCAAAACTGAGATATAAATATATTGGAAGTGATGAAAGATGCAAAGATAAAGATAAAGTTTATACAGTTTCATATAATAACTGGCACACGTTAGGGATAAGAAAACATTTAGGAGATTATGGGAAATGTTCTGAATTCTTTAAATCTAGTATGTATGAGAGAGTAAAAGAAATTAGAAATAATTATTTTCATGAATGAAAGAAATTAAAAATTCATGTCTTACATTTTTGAATAATTTATTTTTTTAATTTGTATGAAAATGAGTGTCAAAACTAACGACGTTAAAAAATTGGGATTCACAAATGAGGAAATAAAGGATATATTAGAGGAAGCGGGTTATGAGGTTAGTAAATATTATTTAAGAAATTGTCAAAAATTCACGGAGTTTTTAAATGAGTTTGATTATGATGGAAAAATGAATAAAGATGATGTTATAAATTTCTTATATCCCACATCTGAAGAAGAAAAACCTAAAGAACATGATGTTTTCCCTGAATATTATGAAGAACGGATTAAAGATGATGAATATGATGAAATTGAAAGACTGGAAAAAATAAGAGATGAAATAGATGAAAAAATTAAGGAATTAAGAGAAGTTGAAAAATATAATGAAAATGAAGTAGAGGGTTTAATGAATATCCCAGCTTCAGAATCAGCAGTTCAAAAATCTCATGAAGAAAGATATAAAAATTATGTCTCAGAATCAACACAAAATTTATTAGATGGTGAAATAGACGAAACACTTTCAGAAGAAGGTACTAAATTTATTCGTAAACATAAGCTTCAGTTTATTGATAATGAAGAATACCCTTGTATCTTACTTTCACCCCCTCTCGATTCTGAGAAATTCAAAAAAGCACTGAAAAATGTAACATATGCAACAAATACGATTAAGAAAGAAGACCATGATATTTACACAAATTATTATTTAAATAAATGCACAGGTGTTGATAAAGTTTTTGATTTATTAGATAAAATATCAAAAGAAACCATTGGTACATATAAAATTTTATGTGATTGTGGTTTCATTATTGAAGATACCAATAATGTTTCATATGAAAGAACAGCACCGAAGGAAGACGAAGTGGAAAGGTCTATACCATTCGTTATTAAGAATATAAAAGATATGAAAACGTATAAGCATTATATTTATTCATTTATTTCAGAAAAAATGGAAACAACCCATAAAACATCATCTCATCATTTTATAGCTATTCATACATTCCTTTTCAAAGTTGTGAAATTAAATAAGACAGGAATTAGATTTAATGTATCAGGGTACACATTCTTGAGTAAATTAAAATGTATTCATCACGTCGCAGATGATAAAAATTTATGTGTTCTTAATTCATTTTATGGACTTTAGCCCTGGACTTTAAAAAATAAACTTTATTTTTATTTATTTTTTTAATTTTTATTCTTACATAAATGAACAAAAACGGAACAGCTAAAATGAATGATAATCAAATTAGAGCAGAAGGTAGAAGGTTATTTAAACGCTTCTATAACATTCCTGATGGTGTTAATCCTAAAACTCGTAGAAGTTATTTAAACGAAGCAATAGATGCATATGAAGGGTTTGACATTTCATCAGAAAGTGAGAGGTTAGCAAGAATGTTAAACGTTAATATTGATTTTTATTATTGTGACCCTCAACCAGAAGACGTAGACATTAACAAGGTAGACTTTCCATTAGTGGAATCAATAATGATAGATCCAGAATTTGAAACAGTAAATATTTTATTAACACAGAGTCCATGTGGAAAACTTCACGCTGACAGAATAACAGACGTTGAAGCACTCACCGGCTATAAAGTTTGTCCATATTGCAAAGAAGAAGTTTATTCTATCCGTGATGATCCAGAAAGGAAAAATCAAAGAAGATTTTTAAAACATTGTGAGAAATGTAAAGAAAATAATGGAAGATTAATTCAAGACGTTCAATTGCAAAACACACAACAACCATATACACCACATATCACGAAACAGAAGATATATCAATGGCTATTAGCACATAATTTGCAGGAATATTATAAACCAACAAGATATTATATTACTTTTGACTTCGAAACATTAGAGACTAAAGATGAACTTCAACTTTCTGAATGTGCAACTTTGAACGCTTACTTAAAACCATTTATGGTATCATCAACTGTCAAAATAAAGCCGCAAAGCGGCGAGGTCGTAGACCGTGATAAAACATTTACGAGGAATTTTTGCTTAACTTCGAGTGATTCTTTTATTTCTGATTGGATTGAGTTTTTATTTTCAACCTGTTCATTAGTTGCTAAATCAAATATTGAACAATATGAAGAATTAATGAAGCCGCAAACGGACCAAACGGTGGGGACTTTGTCTCATACATTAAATGAGAAACAAAAGGAAACATTTAAAGAACTTCTAGATGAAGAATTTAATAAAGTGAATATCATAGGTTTTAATTCGGGAAAGTTTGATTTAAATTTAATTCTTCGTGATTTAAACACTGCAAAATGGAAAATAAAATCAATGCTGGGTTCATCTTCTCAATTTAAGCAAATCATAGTAAAGAAAACAAACTGTCCATATGAATTAAGATTTATTGACATCAGAAATTATATAGCGGGTGGAACATTAGACCAATTCACTCAAGATTTCGGAAACAATAAATCACGTGTTAAATCCTTTTTCCCTTATCAATTCATCACGTGGGAAAATTACGAAGATGAATTATATAAAAAGGAACCATTCACGAAAGATTCATTTTATTCAGCATTAACTCAAGAAACAATATCCGATTCAGATTATCAAATATATCTCAATGATGCTAAAAATTTTGAGAATAGATTAGAATATTTTATTCATTATTGCAATAAAGACGTTGAAATTATGATTGACCCAATTGATAAAATTATTGAAGAAACATTTGTTTATAAAATTGACATGCTTCATAATCTTTCTTTATCATCGAATGCATCAATGATTCGTTACGCGTTAGCATATAAGAACTTCAATCCTAACGAAACATATCCAGAAGAAGAAAATGTGGAATCAAGTTTTGAATTAACGAAAAAGTATTGGAAATATAAAATTGAATCATATAAGAAACAAGATGAAAAAGCAGAAAGGGATACTAAAAACAATGTTTCAATGGATGACTATCAATACTATCACGATTTAATCCTTTCATCTAAATGCAAAATGTGTGGTAAAGCGTTTACATATGCTAATAAACCAACATTGGATAGAATCGATAATGAAAAACCACATACCAAAGAAAATTGTCAGTTAATGTGTTGTTATTGCAATGTCGTAAAATCAAATAAAGATGAAGATGTTCAACGTTTAAGAATCAATTTAAGAAATTATGCATTAAAAAATAATTTACCAATGACTTTAGATTCAGTTGAAGCTTATCACATTCTCCGTAATGGAATTACTGGTGGTCTATCAAATGTTCAACATCGTGTTAATCTTAAAGGAATCACGCACATTAATAAACTTTCATATAATCCAGAAACTAAAACTGTATCAAATGAGGACACCACCAACATTATGACTCATTTCGTTGGAGTTGACTTTAATTCATTATATCCTTCATCATTTTCATCTAATCCTCATGATTTCATTCAATATACTAACCATAAAATGTATATGCCGGGAAGATTGAATGGTGTTTTCATTTGTGATACAGCAACAAAGAAAGCAAAAGCACTGGGAATAATTAGAAAGAAAAATACTTTATTCGTGGCTGAAGTAAAGGGTCACATTGATGAAAAATACATTAATGATTACATAAACTTTTTACCAATAATAAGAAACTTAGATATTATCACAGATGAAAAAACAATTGGCAGTTTTATGTATAATTACATGAAATCAAACAATCTACCAGTTGACCAGAAACAGAGAAAATTAACTCAGTTAGCATCAACACACAACCAATATCAACCATTTTCTTCTTATTATCTTTGGTATCTAATAGACAGATTTCATTTTATCATTGATGATATTCAATCAATTTTAACATTTACGAAAACACTTGCTTTAATGAATTTGCGAACGAATTTATGAACGAAAGACAAAAGGCTGAATTAGAAGGAAATAAAGGAAAAAGTTTATTTTGCAAGATTTCACTTAATGGATCATATGGTTACGATGCAATGAATACACAAAATTACGCAAAGACTAAAATAATGAATGCACAGAAGGCACGCGTTGCATGTATGTCAAATAAGTTTAAAAACATAAGAGAAATAGGTGAAGATACGTATCAAGTGATGCTTAAAGATAGATTTTATAGATGTGATACATGTTTACAAGAGGCATTCTTCACTTTAGATAACGCAAAATACTGGTATTTGGTTTTCATTTATGATTTTATGTATAAATGCATGAATGTTAATCGTTTTCATTTCATTGAAGGTGATACTGATTCATCTTATTGGGCAATCGCTGGCGACCCAAATCTTCCTAACACTCAAGCATTTCAAGCAATTGTTACTGATAAACAATTTTATGATAAAAACATTTACAAATTCGCACCTTTTGATTTCTTTTGTTTTAATGAGAAATTTAAACCTAAATTAAAGAATAAAGCTGAAGAAAAAGCACATGAGAAGAAGTTATTGGGTTTAACAATTGAGAAACAAGGTGATAACATGGTTGCTTTATGCCCCAAGTGTTATACATCATTCAACGGTTCAATTGATGGAAGTGATTTTAAAAAGATTGCACAAAAAATGAAAGGAGTTAGTTTACGACAAAATAAACAATTAACACCTAAAAATTATTTGGATATAATAAATGATAAAGTGATATTTGATGGTCAGAATATTAATTTACAACTTAAAAACGGGTCAATGACTCGCTTAACAATTGGTAAGACTGCATTAACAGGAGCACACACTAAGGCTGTGTGTTGTGAAAATGGATGTTGTATGCCATTTATTTAATAAAATGCCACAGAAGAGACAAAAGGAACCGTTAATGATGTTTTTGATACTATGATTCAAAGAGGTGGGCACCCTTAAAACATTTATTTTATTTTTATATAAATGGATAACTCAGATTTAGAAAATTTAATTGATGATTTAGTACTTAATCAAAAATTTCTTAGTTATTATGATTTAAAAGCATATCTCCAAAAATATAATAATAATATAACGGGTGATGATATGGGATATTATTATCCATATTATAAAAATGAAATTTTGAAATATCATAATAGAATAATTTCTAAAATTAAAGACAAAATTAAAAATAATGAATATTCAAAGGGAAAAACTAAATCACAGCTTAAACAATTGAAAGATTTCAAAAATAAAGTATTAACAGAAGAAGATATTGATGAATTATATAAATTATATAATCCTGAGCCACAAAAGCAAAAGGAGCAAAAACAAAAGGTGCAAAACACCCAGGTCCTTCAGACCATAAATGAAGCACAAGCTTTAATTTATGATTCATTAGTTAAACCATATTCAGCCCGACTTTTAAATGAAGATCAACTTTTGGAATTCATCCTTCAACATAAACTCGAAGCGGGAAAGTATATTAAACCTTTATATACAGCATATTTAAAACAAATGAATAGAATACATCCAGAATTAATGAAGGAAAGAATGAATTCCAAAACTTCATCATCCAAAATCAAAGCAGATAAAATTAAACCACTTGCAACACCAAAACCTCTAACGACAGTACCTGCAACACCAAAACCGCCTCCTCCTTCAGTTAATCTTTCATCATTCACTTTATTATATCCATTTCAAACATTAAAGAAACAAAAAGATTTTAAAAAGGATTTCAAGATATTAAATAAACCAATTGACCCGAAAATTCAACCGTTAAAGGAAAAATTTAGTCGCCCTTCATTTGCACATATCCATATTCATATGAAATCGATCATTTAGAATATTCAAAAGGAAACGTTACTTATTTATTTGCCATTAACATTAACACCAGATATTTATATTGCATTCCGGTGAAAGGGAAAACAGAACAGGAAACAAGAAGAGCTATTCAATACTTACTTGATCATGAAAGAGTAGATAATATAAGGGGTGATGGTGATAAAGGATTTCAGGCAGCTATGACTCATTATTTCCCACAAATTAATTTTTACTTTTCATCCTCTCCATATACGTTTCATAATAAAATAGTTGATGCGGTAATGAGAACTCTTAGAGATGCGTTAGGGGTTAACGGTCAGATATACTGGAATGGAAATCATGACTCCATCATACAGCAGTTAGTATATTATTACAATAATACATGGCATAGAACAATAAACATGAAACCAGTGGAAATGAAAAATGATATTTCAAAAGAATGGGAATATATTAGAAAGCAAATGGAAAGGTTGAATGATGTTAAACGTGAACAAATTAATTCGGGGCTCATGAATTTTAAACAAGGGGATAAAGTTTTGATTCATCTCGATTATGGAAAAACTGATAAATCAATGACAAAAAGAAGACGAAGATTTGACACAATAGCTGAATTTGTTAGATATATTAACGGCAATGCATTAGTTGAGGTTAACAATAAATTAATAGAAATTCCGATTTATTTTATTACTCCATTATATTTAAATAATATTTAATTTTTTTATTTCGTAAGAAATGAGTGACAACAAAGCAGCCAAGAGTCCTGATTCAATTAAGATTCAGAGTCCAGACGATGAATATAAAAAGAAACTAAACAGAATTAAATCAAAAATATGCTATTACAAAAAGAAGCCGCAATGTGGTGAGGTTGATGCCCATAAAACTAATGGAACTGAAAACAATGAAGAGAGGAAAGAAATAATCGAAAAATTAGAAACTTACCGTTCAATCCTTAAACTGAGTGAAGCAAAAATAAAAGAATTTAATAGAATAAATAAATTGATTGGAAGAGATGAATTTAATAAAGATGAATTTTTAAACTCAATCCAAATTTAATTTTTATTCCTCTTTGACAACATCTCTCTTTCCATCATTACTGCATAACCACATTTTCTCAATTTTAGTGGTTTGTTATTTTTAACATGTTCTTGCATCATTTTTATCATTTCCTCCCTTGTTATGATTCGTGGTAAATTTTGAGCTTGTGGGGTATTCATTTATGATAAAAATAAAAATTTAAATTATGCCGTTCTAAAGTTTGAGACAACATGACATTTTGACAACATCATGGGTTATTCAATAATTAATTATTATTGAAGAACTGAAGGGGTCACCAGGTCACCAGGTGGTCACCAGGTAATTTAACTTCTCTGAAAAAATGAGACAACATGACATTTTGACAACATCATGGGTTATTCAATAATTAATTATTATTGAAGAACTGAAGGGGTCACCAGGTCACCAGGTGGTCACCAGGTAATTTAACTTCTCTGAAAAAATGAGACAACATGACATTTTGACAACATCACAGGAGGAAGGCAAAAATAAATTCCAGTCATACTTTATAAAGCTTCATTCACAGGTATTTCATCGTCAGTAAATGATTCCTCATTATCGTTTGGTTCAATTTGTTTATATAATCCTTTCATTTCTTCTTTCAAAACATAATACCATGTTTGTTTACCATCTATTTTTCTTTGTTTCCTTTCACATTTATCCTTAATGCTCATTTGGAAATTCTTGTCTTTCATGTCTGATGGTTTGCAGAATAGAGCATTTTTACACGTCATACCTGCACATAATTCATCATAATGTGTATTTATCCATTCATCTAAAGGATTTGTTGATAACTCGATTAAATCTTGTTTGGCTTCAGTCATCGGTATGATTCGTACATTAAATGATGAAAGGTCATATTGCATAAAATACGTCAGTAAATTATCATAAAATTCCTTTGTGCATGAATCCATCAAATTCTTGAAGTAATCAAATTGACCCTTGAATTTACCATTAACCCTTAAAACTACATATCTTCTGTCTCCAACTTCAATTTTGACAGGGTAGACGTTGTTAGTTACGAAAATAAAGTTTGCAACATTCTGAGCTGTTCTTCTGGGTTGATTCTTTTCATTAATTCTAATTTGATTATCCGTAATAATTGATTTCAAAGCGTTGAAGTTTGCGAGTCTGTCTTCACCTACATTCTTGAGTTCATTAAGTACAAGAAACATTTTATTTTCAACAACCGAATTGAAATTACCCGTTAGCTCACTTATTTCAGTAATGTTTTTGCATGAATAACCAGCGAGGAGTTCAGAAATAATGTCTGTAAATCTGTTTTTACCTGTTCCCTGAAGTCCTTTCAAAATAATTGCTGTTTCATTCTTGATTCCAGGATGTTGAATCATTGATGCAATCCAGCCGAGAAGGTATTTATACACTTCATCGTTATTATCACAAATGGCTTCTTTAATGAAATCCATAAACATCTCAATTTTTGAGTAATCAGGCTTTTCAAGAATGTTGTATTTATAACCCTGAAACGTTGAGAAAACATCTGGGGAATCAGATTTAAAGCAAACACCCTTAACGGTTAATGAGGATAATTGATTTAGTAGTACATCCCATGCTGTTATTGTTTTACCTTCTTCTTTAAATAATTTAATCATTTTGAGTGACTCTTTCATGTTTGATTGAAGAACGAATGATATTTGATTCATTTTGTCGTGGATATTATAGTCCTTTTGAATGAAATATTTATTTCCACAATCTACAAAACGGATTACACGTGATAAATCCTCAATTACTTCAGAACTGTTTTTATACTGATGATTTTCAGCCTTGCGTCTAATATCTGTTATCAAAAACGAGTCATCAAGTTTGATATCAAATGTTATTTTTGGCTTACGTAATAAAGGTAAAACATATTCATCATAATATTCCTTTTGATAAAGTTTTAGAATCTTCACCAAAACAAATGGAGAAGTCATTAAATGTGCATATCTACTACGTGCTTTTTCAAAATTACTTTTTGCATTTTCTGTTAAATTGCAGAAGTTATAAACGTTGTCGTATGCTTCATTAATTAAATGATTAGGTAACGAATTAATAGCTTGAAACAGTGTGAATAATGTAACTTCTTTTTCTAAATTCATGTTTCCACCGTCATTATGTACTTCAAAATCACTGATGCCATCAACTATGCTCTGGGCAAGTTTATCGTCAATGTTTACATCTTTGTTTTCATTCATTATACTCTTTATTTCTTCATTCTTCTGTTCAACTCTTACCTTAATATTCAAATCATTTAATATATCATTCACTGTTCTGGTTAATGTTGAATCATAACTTCCACGAATGAATGAGTATGTATTGATTGGTTCTGATGCATTCTTGCGAACTCTTGAATCAGCCATAACCACTAATGAACGCTTTGAATCATCCATAGAAGTCATGATATCAATATCATAATCATTGCAGGAATAACATTTAATCATTCTGTTCGAAACTGCATAGAAGAAATTAGTGTTGCAATAAATGTGAAGACCTCCTGAAGCGGTTTTAACGATAACATCTTTATCCGAAAGTTTTGATAGAATGTCTTTTCTAACTGTTTCTTTAAGTTCATCATTGTATGATTTATTGATATCAACATCTATAATCGTTAAATTTGAAATTTTATTTACTAATAAAGCTGTACCAGTTTTCCTTCCTCTTCCTCCATCATGTTTGAGGTAGTTATGTAAATCAATCTTGTTTTCACCAATTCTTTCGTTGAGGGTTTTAGTTTCTGCCACAACTAATTCCTCAGCTAATGAATCAATAACTTTTTCATCAGAAACGATAAAGTTGCTGTTGTTGTTACTGTTGTTTGTTGTTGTCATTTATATAGGAATAAAAAAAGAAAAATATTTTTAAAACTAACTTTATTTTTGGACTACATCATATTTTCGTAAATGTTGTCAAAATGTCATGTTGTCTCATTTTTTCATAGAAGTTAAATTACCTGGTGACCACCTGGTGACCTGGTGACCCCTTCAGTTATTCAAAAATAATTAATTATTGAATAACCCATGATGTTGTCAAAATGTCATGTTGTCTCATTTTTTCATAGAAGTTAAATTACCTGGTGACCTGGTGACCTGGTGACCCCTTCAGTTCTTCAAAAATAAAGTATTGAATAACCCATGATGTTGTCAAAATGTCATGTTGTCTCATTTTTTCATAGAAGTTAAATTACCTGGTGACCTGGTGACCTGGTGACCCCTTCAGTTCTTCAAAAATAAAGTATTGAATAACCCATGATGTTGTCAAAATGTCATGTTGTCTCATTTTTTCATAGAAGTTAAATTACCTGGTGACCTGGTGACCTGGTGACCCCTTCAGTTCTTCAAAAATAAAGTATTGAATAACCCATGATGTTGTCAAAATGTCATGTTGTCTCATTTTTTCATAGAAGTTAAATTACCTGGTGACCTGGTGACCTGGTGACCCCTTCAGTTATTCAAAAATAATTAATTATTGAATAACCCATGACATTTTTTCATAGAAGTTAAATTACCTGGTGACCACCTGGTGACCTGGTGACCCCTTCAGTTATTCAAAAATAATTAATTATTGAATAACCCATGATGTTGTCAAAATGTCATGTTGTCTCATTTTTTCATAGAAGTTAAATTACCTGGTGACCACCTGGTGACCTGGTGACCCCTCCAGTTCTTCAAAAATAAAGTATTATTGAATAACCCGAAGCATTAATGATAACACATATTTCTGGTCGTTAATGACAAAAATAAATGGTTCATTTACTCACAATATTTTTGTACAAAACGACCCCAAACTTTTAACTTCTTTTCTGCAGCTTCAAATGCTATCTTAGCGAGTTCATATTCTCTAAATTCTCTCTTTAAATCTTCTTGTTCCCATTGGTCTAGTTCGTATGAAGAATCTCTATAACCATAACATATCTCGCGTTCATGTTCTAATTGTTTTTCACACATTTTTCCAACTTCTTCTTCAAACAAATGTTTAGCATTCTCTACTGTATCTTCGAGTTCTTCTTCATCTAATTTCTCATGAACTTTCTTGTCTATGGAGTCCATAATTTTTCCAACTGCTATGCAATATTTTGGAGAAGCCCACATTGTTATATAGTTTATAAGTCTTGGGTCTACATACGTTCCTCTAACCTGTTTGATTTCATCAGAAATTCCCGCATGAATTTTGTATAAAAAACAACCGTCGGAATTCCGGCGGTTGCTATATTCTTCACAAAATGCCTTATAATACTCTTCCCAGGACTTATTTTCCAACAGCTTTCTAAAGTCTTTCCTAAACTGCTGACACATCTTTGTTGCATTAATGTAACCATCCTTGTCTCTACGTAAGACTTCAATATCGTTATAAGTGCCTTTTGTGAATGTTTCGCCATTAGATTTGTTTGTGAATGTTTTTGCTTCGACTGACATTATTGTCTTTACATACAAAATAAAAAATAAAAATAATTTTAAAACTAATGAAATTAATTATTTTTGGACTGAATTCATTCATAACACCATTCATAAGCTCATAAAATGCTCGTTTTGAGGTTGAGCCACTTTTGGCTCGACCGTATTCTTTCATCCAAAACTCAATAAACAATTATTGAATAACCCAAAACCATTACCTAATTAATTACAGACATAAAATATATTTGGTTCATTCGGTAAGCCCAGACCTTTGGGTCAAGCACATTCATTGAACTCTATACCATGCGTAAACTGTCATAAATGGTGGCATGTATTCTTTACTTTGTCCCGTTGTTTGTGTATATCCTGAAACGTGATGTGTATGGTTTCCTTCTCCCTGAGTGTCACTCCAGTAACAATTTATGGCAAACTTAACGTCGTCTTTAACATCATATCCTTTACCTTTTGTCATTCCTGACCAATCCCAATATCTATGCTTATGCCAACCCGCTTGAGATGTACTTAAATCTATGTAGTGACTGTGTGCAGGTAAATTTTCACCTGTAATCGTTTTACTTCCCCCTGTTTCCTTTGAAGAGTTTGCACAATACAAAAACCTGTCGACTATTTGTTCCCATGCACCAACACCAAACATTGCTTGAGGACCTCTCACATCCATAGATGTATAAATAGAACCTACTGGGTTCATTAAATCAAACATATGAGATAATATAGGATTGTCTCTTTTGAACTTAAAATATAGTGTAACTATTTCAGGTTTCTTCTGGTTTGTGTCAGAATATTTTTTATAATATAATCTTATGTTTTCAGGGTAGGTAAAATCTTGACTATAATATTTATTTTTGTCATCTATATAATAATATACTATTCTCGTTTTTTCTATTGCATTATATCTTTTATATCTATAATATTCTAAATATAATGTTTGCTTTTTTGGGTCTACACGTGCGTCAACACCATAGTCATAATAATACGGTGCTGGAGCTACGTTAGACAATGTCATATCCGTCATTTCATAAACTCTTAAATATTTCTTTTGTTCGTCTCCATATAAGTTTAAGTAACAGTTGTTGTCTAATGGAACTTTAACTTGTGTACCATTATTCTTTATATAGCTTACATACATTTCATTGTTATTTTTCGGAATGAGTTTATACCGTATACCATTTTTTAAGGACTGTACAAACTCCCATCTAAAATATTTATTTTCTTCATAGACGGAAAAGTCACCAGCAATAGTTTCAATATTTTTAGTTGTTCCTATCAAACTTTGGTATATTTCATTAACATATTCCTTATCTGCTTTCTTCATTAACTCACTATCCACATATTCCTTATCTGCCTTCTTCATTAACTCACTATCCACATATTCCTTATCTGCTTTCTTCATTATGTCATTTAGGAAACCTTCTATGAATTCCTCATTTAAATTAAATCTTCCAATCTTCAAAACTTTAGGAAATGCATTTAATGCGTAATATCTTTGTTCTTCTGGTGGAATTGATGTTATATCATCCGTTATTCCTTTAATTTTTGAATTCATAAATAAAATTTCTTTTATATTTGATATCATTGCACCACCCTTGCAACGAATTCAAAATGGTCATTTTTCAATACTATCTCCAAATCTCCATATTTCAACCTTTGCGTTTGTTCTGCCGTCTTTGAATTATATGCATATGTGGCGTAAGTAATGGTCTGTGCCTTAAGTTGCTGTGGTTGCTGTTGTTTAATCATTTATTATGATTTAAAAATAAATATTTAATCTGTTATCTCATCAGCTATTTTTTCTATTTGAAATTGCCATAATATTTCATTCATAAATTCTAAATCACAATCAAATAGGTCAGTTATTCTAAATTTAATATTTGATAAATCTTTTGAATGAAGAATAAATGAATTCCCGGATAATTGAAACGGATATGATAAAGAAAATATGTTTAAGTTGATGGATAAAATGTTTTGTATTGATGGGTAAGAGTTAGGGTCTAATGTTTGATGTGAAAATCTCATTGGGGTATTAACTTTATCACATTTGATTAAAATGAAATTGGAACCAGTGTCAGAATACAAAACATCCCCAACATCTTTTTCAAAATTTAATATCCCCAACAATGAACGAAGATGAGGAGTACAAAATTTAATTTTCAGCGGGAATTTAATAAGGTTATTTATTTCATCAAGTTCAAAAAGTTTATCAGGTTTTGATTTAAAATTTTCTTCATACCAAACGATAAATGATTCATTTAAATAACTTAAAATTGTGTTAATATCCCATTTCGTTATCACATTATTTATATACATATCATACGTTTTTTCAAGGTCATCTTTAATAAATGATATATAATCTGAAGGGTCTAAAAGAATGGGATTAAATTTACCACTCACAGAAACGAGAGTAACATTATAAATTCCACTAACTGTTAAATTTAATTCAACTATTATTCGAAATAATATTGATAATTGACATTTTTATTACGATTAAAAATATGGTAAAGCGTTATTTTCCAGTGATAAATAAAACTAGAATAAGATTACCTCAAGAATTCATAAATTCAACGAATAAGAAATTCATTCATGTTATAAATTTCAGTGTTTTCAGAAAATATGAGTCAATGTCATATTCATCATCGGGTTATATTTCACTTCATTCAAATTTAGTTCAATCAAACCCATATAATGACCATTTCATAAGATTTTCAGATGGTATTAAAAATGTAATTGATAGATTAAAATATGAACAGATTGACAATATCGAATTTTTGGAATTTTGGTTTAAATATCCTGATGGAAAAAAGATTGAAGTTAAAGATAAAGCTGATACTATAACAAAAACAATTACAATGACCGATCCAGATAGTGGGGAACAAAAAGAAATAAAACAAACGATAGAAACTGGTGAAAGGTCAATTATTATTGATTATGATTCAAAGGATTATTATTCAATAATGTTAATGCTTGAATATTAAATGGCCTTAACAAAGAATTTTTCAAGAGATATTTTATATTCATCAACTATTTTATTATAAATATCATTATATGTTAAATGAAGTTCAGTTGTTGTTCCGTTCTTTGATATCTTAATTGTGCTAATATCCTTTATAGGATTTATTTTTGCAACTGTTCCGCAGCATGAAACCTCATCATCTATGAAAAATTGAATCTTAACGTCTGAATCTTGAACATCACAAAGAATGGCGATAATGTGAATTAATGATTCATAAGGTAAAATAATTAAACCGGATTGATCAATTAAATTTATTATTGAATCATAATTATCAGTTATTATATCACGGTAAATTTTCATTAATTCAGAATTAATGTCTATTTTATATGGCGCATTGCGACTGGAATCGTATATTCCTGGGTTCTCGATGTTTGATGAAAGAGGTGGGGGGTATGTTGGATATGGGGATTTCAACAGGTTCTTTACCGGGTTCAGATAAAATGATTGGGTCTCCATTCTCATGGTTTTCTTCATTCTCCTCATTCTTCGGTAAGTCACGAGTTAATAAATTTGGTTGAGTTGCTGACCTTGTTAATTCAGGGCTAACATTAACTTTAACATTTTGAATAATTCGTGATTTATCATCATTTACGTTATAACCAACCGTAATCTCTGCTTTTGCGTTAGTGTTCTTTTGACTTGTGAAACGTCTTCTCATTTATAATTGAATAAAAAAGAAAAATATATATTTAAAGTTTTATTTAGTTGTTACGGTAATATCCCAAGGTTCATCATTGTTTGCTTATACTTTCTTTGTAACTGCACCAATAATGTTATTGATATTGCTTTGAGTTTCTTCCAGTCTTATTTCATCATTTACAATATCTTTAATCATTTCATTACATGCATTCTTAAAACCATCTGATTTTTCTAATTTACGTCTATCACTTTCTTTAATTAAATCAAAGTTATAACCTTGTTGAGAATAAAGTGGTTTCTTTATCAATTCCTTGAACGCTTCTGCAAGTGAAGATGAAGAAATTCTTGCCACTTGAATTGGTTTAAATTCTGCTTTCATTGCTTCTTTCTGTTCATTGAACACTGGATCGAATAAAGCAACTTTAAAGAATTTCTTAGCTGGAATTTCAGGTCTCAAATTTGCATATTGACCATCAAACTGATTAACATATCGTGGTAATCCATCCGGTCCTTCTTCAATAGCGTTTAATTCTTCATTGAAATAAGAATATGGATTATGACGGTATGAATTAATTGGCCATTTCACCTTCTCAATGTATTGTTTAACAGCTTTTCCATTTTCATCAAATTGCATAGGATAACATTCATTATATGCTTTACGTTTAGGATAATCAGATACAGTTAATTTGTAACCATTTATGACTTTAATATTACCTTGACCATCAGTAACGAAAACTTCATTTATACCATCAGGTTTTCCATTTGGACCTGTAATGTCTGCTTCATGTGCTTCCCAATTTGGACCTTGACGTTTGGCATATGCTTGAGCTTCTGGTAATGTTAAAACGTTTCTCATTTGTTTAACATCTTTTGAAGACCAGCAACAATATGAACTAATTCTTTCATTCCGTCTGGAACTTTCATAGTTCTATTATACACACCCCCTTTTTGTTTGTCCCTTGTTTTAATGGAACCTGTAAAGATTTGCTATTTCTGTCATGTTTAATTATAAATAAAAAATAAAAATTAATTATAAAAAGTTAATCAAATTTAACACATCCTTTATTTAAATCAACTATTATTTTTCCATGTTCACCTAATTGTTGATATTGTGTGTAAAGTTCATTAATGCTCATTGGTAAATTCACTTGATAAAGCATAACGTTCAACTGTTGACGACTAAAACCACTGAAAATGAAAAGTGTTGATAGATTTGATTTAATGTTTGTGCTTAATGCTTTGAAGTATTGAACAGCCATGAAGAATGAACACTGAATGTGTCGACATTGAGTTAATAACTGATTAAAATATGATTTCTCATTTGTTATTAGTTTTGATTTCACCGCATCATCTAGAAAAATGAGTGAATGCAAAAATTCTCTATCAAAATTTGAAATAGAAAGTGTTTCAAATAATTCATCCCGTTGTTTATCAATAATTTTATCCTCTAATCCTTGCTTCTTGATTGTATTATATAATTCTTTATACATTAAAAAGTTTTTTAAATAATCTTCTGCTTCTTCTTGTGATAAATAAATAATTGGAATTTTGATTAAATGCTTTAAAGATTCAAATGTATCATCTGAAGGTGAACCTGAACGGTTGATATAAATTAACACATGTGAATGGGGGAAGTGTTAGCAATAATGATAATTTGTTTTAATATCGTTAATGTTTTACCTTTATTTTGTTTACCAATTGCTGCAGTGATTGAATTTAAGTAACATTCAGAATATGGAATTTTCATTAATTTTTCCTTAGATAGAGCATTTCTATTATCACTCAATGCTTCATTAATCATATCATCTACGTATGTATTATATACTCCTGCTAATTCTTCAGAATTAAATCCATTTAATCAAAAATAAATTTATAATTTTATACATTTCTATTCATCAATATTTCATCATATGAACTTCTATACTGTGGTGTACCTGTTGGATGATATTTCAAACCTTCATCCGGTGTCCATGTCCAATACGTAGTCCTAGTAAACCAAACCTGAGGAGGATTTGTCACCTTTGAACAGTAAGTGTCATTTACACCCTGAATGATTGGATAAGCTTTCACTTGTACTGTAACTTGTGAGTTGAAAGTTTCTAATCCATCAAAGAATATACCCGCTCCATCACGTTGAACTGGAATAGTGCATAAGAATGAAGTTTGGTCTTTCCATGTTCTAGCTAATGGCGTGCCATTATCATCATTCATGGTCTAGTTAATGAGTCCTCGTATTCTTCCGTGCATTCATTCACTCCATCTAAATCAGAAGCTTGAAGCATACGTGTAAAGAATATGTCGCCCACTGTGGTCATCGCTTGATCGGGAAGTTTCTGGAATCTATAGTGACCTGAAGACCTCGAAGCATTGGATTTTCTAAAACTGTTCTTTGCATTGCATTCTTCGGAAATGCTAACACAACATCTGTAACATTATGAAGAGCGTATGAGAAATCTGAGCTGATACCTTCAGGAGTGATGCAACCTCCATTTAGTGAACGAACGTCAATATGTTGAGCTGGAATCATGAATGGATCTTCCTTACTGAATAAACGTGGTATTGCTTTAACTGATTCTTCAATTAAACCGTATCCTGGTGTAATGCATTTATCCTCTAAAACTTCCATCTTTGTGCATGAAATAATAACTCATCAACTGTTGCGTCAGCAGATGTAGCGGCTAAGCTTGTAATTAATTTGGCAGGAAGTCCGATTTGTTGGAATTTGCGATCATATTTATAAACATGATTCATAATCTTTTCATAATTTTCATCAGTTATCTTTTCATAAACGTAATTTTGTAAATCAGCAACTCTTAACGGGTCAACCTGACAAAATACTAAAGTATCCCTGAAAACATAATATTTAAGAATGATTTCACCAAATGATTTAGGATAATCATCGAACGCCTGAAATGCTAACAAATCATTTACCGGAATAATCATATCAAAAGTGATATCAACTTCTTCATTTGCTTTCTTGAAAACTTCTGAAGGGTCAATATATTTACCACATACTGAGTTATCATATTTTTGAACATTATTATATAACGAATGAACAAACTTTTTAACTTTCCTTTCTGATTTTGGTTTATATGTTGCAAATGCGAAAGATTCACGGGCACAATCCATCTGAAGATAACCGGCATCACCTCTTTCGGTTTCTACTTCTAATTGTTTAAAGCTTTGATTTGATGATTTATAACCAACGAATAAACGCATGCATTTAAAAGCGGCATCACATGTGAAAGCTTTATTTGAAACTAGAGTTGCTTTAACTTTGCGTTTAATATATGTGTCACCTAATTGGTTCACATCATGAGCCGGATTTGTAATTCTTAAATGAGTTTGTTTATCATCAAAATATGGAGCATCAGAGTCATAGCATGAACTTTCAAGTTCTCTATAATATCTTCTACCGTCATTCTTTGCGAATATTTCATTTATCTTTTCGAATGAATGAAACACATTTCCATTAATCGGTTTAGTGTTTGGCACCAAATAGTTAGTCGTCATTTATTATTAAATAAAAAATCAAAATTAAAAGATGAAAATGAATTTTTAATTTTAATGAAATAATCAACTATGGCTGCAGGATTCTTTAAGAAACTGTGGGATAAAGTAAAAAGAGGAGCGCATAAAGTTTGGGAAACAATGAAGAAAGGAGCAAATTGGATATTTAAGAATAAAGAAGCAATTAGTGACGTTGCTGAATCAATAACACCAAAAGCTGCCCCAATAAGAGAAATATTAAATAAAGGAGAAAAAGTTTATCAAAGACTACAACCAATACTAAGATAAAAATAATATTTATTTATTTTTCCACTATTTACCCCCTATTTTATTAAGTATTCCTTCAGCAATTCCACCAATTGCGTTACCTGCTTGTGCTCCCATCGCCGGATTACCTGCTTTAGTACCTAATACTCCACCTATGATAGTTCCTGCCGTTTTCGCTACTGGTGCCAAAAAGTTTGCAACAGGTTTAATAACCTTTTTATAAACCCAACCTGCAGCTTTCTTAATTCCATCCCATAATTTTTTAAAGAATCCTGCCGCCATTTCTGATTTAATATTAATTAAAAAATATATTTCATCACTTATATTCTAATTTTTATTTAATGATAAATGAAACCAATTTTAAAAATAAATGAAACAGAGGAGGAAGAAATAAATGAAAGTGGAAATGTTCAACAAAAAATAAACGTTGTTAAACCAATTACTGAAATAAAAATTTTTTCATCTGTTGATGAATTTAATGACTATTATGCTAATAATAAAAAATTATTTGAAGAATTGACAACATGTAAATTGAATAAAATGTTTAAAGTTGATGGATTCAAAATTTCAAAAATAAAAGGAGTGGTTAGTTTGAAATCTATTCCCCAATCAAGAATCACCTCATTAATGAAAATAGATGATTTAACAAAAAGAATAGAAATTATTGAAGAGCGAATAAATCAAATTATTGATTTCATAAATCATGACTCGTTGAGCCCGGGTCCTTAAAGCTCAGGACTTAAAGTCCATCACTGAGTTCAAGGTTATATTCATCAAATATTTCATTATTAAATGCAACTTCTGCTAGTTTATTTATTTTTTCAATACGATCATTTGAAAGTCTATCGTTTATATGCTCCTAACTTAGTTCTAAAGGTTTTTCTACAAAATTTAGGAATTCCATCCTCTTTAATGTCATCAATGATTTCCATTTCGTTATTTTCAATTTCTTCTTCTCGTTTATGAGGTCTTTGATTATGACTCCATTGATTCCATGAAATTAAATATTCTTTATCATTATATTTATACCTCATTAGCTTATTTTGGCTTTCATATTCATTTTAATTAATTCACAATCTTCATTTTAATTGAAGTTTAACCCATTCAGGATTTAAACAATGTTTAATTAATCGCGAATATCTGACATCATTTTATAGTATACTCTTTTATAAAAGATAAAAAAATAAATCATTTTATTTCATTATGGTAGTGAATCTTTTATTCATGAAAATAATTATTTCTAATTTCTTTTACTCTCTCGTATATACTAGATTTAAAGAATTCAGAACATTTCCCATAATCTCCTAAATGTTTTCTTATCTTATTGGTTTTCCATTCATTATATGAAACTGAATAAACTTTATCTTTATCTTTACACCTTTCATCACTTCCAATATATTTATATTTCAATTTTGATTTATTTGGTTTCATATTCATTAGCGTTTAATAATTCACAGTCTTCCTTTTTAAATAAATGTTTTATGTATTCAGGATTAACAATTCTATAATATTGCTTCCCTTTAAATCTTGAATATAAACAGGAACACATCCTCTAAATTCGATAATCTATTTTATCTTTTACTTTGTTGGGTCATTTATGTCAGAATAAAAAAATAAATTATTTTAAAAATAATGTTAATTTTTTAATGATTTATAAATAAATATAATTTAATGCATCGTCTATATATAGATGTAACAAAAAAAGTCACAAAACCCGTCATATATACTACTAATATCCTATAGTTGCTATTAATGATATAACTGTTCCATCATACTGCTCTCGGATTGTTAATGATACTTTCAAAATTTCACGATAGAATTCTTTCAAATCAAAAATTAGATAATTTTATTCAATAGATTTTTATGAAAATATTAAATATTTCAAATGCAAAACTCAATTATATCATTTTCCGAAGTGGATATCATGAATATGTGTTGATTTCGCTAGCGAAATATATTTTTTATGAAAATTTCTTCCATGATCTGGTAACTACATTACAGTACAGCAATAGGAAATGACATTTTTCTTCATAAAATCTTAACATTTTTAAAATATGATTCCACAATTGGATATTTCTCAATTTGAACATTCAGAATCCACAAAAATTTCTATTTATTAAAGGTTTGCCTATTCTGAAACCTATTTAAGTAATAATTATTGAAATAAAAATTCAATTTTAATGAAAAAGAAAAACAAAGAGAGAGGGAGAGAAGAAGAAAAGAAAGAAAAGAGAAAGAAAAGAAAGAAAAGAGAAAGAAAAAGAAGAGAGAAAAAGAAAGAAGAAGAAAAAAAAAGGAAAAAGGGCGGCGTGCATAGAATGAACTTTATAGCCGAGCATTCGGAAAAGGCCGGAGCCGAAGGCGAAGGTCTTTTCCGAATGCGAGGTAAAAATTTTTTAGATATTTTAAGTCGCACGCAAGATACCTAAAATTAGTGCTATAAAAGTGACACTATTCGCAAAACGGCATCCTTATTTTAATCATTGTGAATTTCAATCATTGTCATTATCGAAAGTTATTAGAAAATACAATTGACAGTTTACGGAAAAAGTGGGTCTTAAAATCATTTTGGGTCTTATTTTTAACCGCAAAATTCCCACAATTTTGAATACTTTGGCAAAAAAACTTGCAAAAACATAGCGTCTATATACTATGTATATTAAGATTTTGCAAAGTGTCAAAAAATAAAATTTTTTTTAAAAAAATTTTAGGGAGTTCGAAAAAAGTAATGATGGTAAGAGATGAGAAGTATTTACGCTTGAAGTCGGAGCGGATATGAAAAGAATTTGTAGAGGCGCATATCTTGGTATGCAAAATTGAGATACTGTGTTGAAATGTACAAAATTCAAAATCTGACACAAGTCTCTCTGACCATATTAGACTCGTATTCTTTCTCTGTTGTATGAGGTTTAATGAAAATGCTCGTTAATAGATACACATCTATTTAAAAATGATATCCGTTATTAAATCATATGCTCTGTGGACGCGGAAACTTGTGTTTTCGACTTTGTAAGTTGGTAATGAGCGATGCGAATGGGTCAGTTTGGTTAGTAAAGTCATCTAAGAAAAAATCGTTAATTGAACAATATGTAATAATTTTTGAAAATGAAGTAAACAGTATATTGAAATGTGCAGTATTAAGCTACTCTTTGACCTTGTAAGTTTTGATCAATTATGTAGCTGAAGGTATATTTGCAGGTAAGCAAGTTTGAGGAAAAATCTTATAGCTAAAAATAACAATTGTATGAAATAGTTATTTGGTTCATTTGCTAACGTGCTTTGTTTTTGGGGTCGGAAAACCCAGGTTCGAATCCGAATACATCTTATTTTTTCTTTTTCATTATATCAATAAATTGTATTATACCCAAGAATTATTTTAATAAGAATCAATTTGGAATTTGAACCATGAATAATATATTTCGTATTTAAATACTCATATTTTTGTAAAATAATCTTTTCGGTTATATTACAATCAAATTACAAAACAGTGATAAGATTTTTTAATCCTAAATTCAAAATATATGAACTTTGATCTTTAAATTTTAAACAATTTTGAGAAAGAAATATTGTTAATCGCTTAATATTCTTATGTATATAAGTTGATTATGCAGCTGTGTGTCAAAATCCAATTTTTAATACCAATCTCATTTATTCTTCAAATTATTTTTATTATTATAATCATGAGATCTGGTATTATATGAATAACATCACATTTCAACATAAACGTGAGTAAATTTCAAAATTGCAAAACAATCACCTCAATTTCTCTATTTATTCATATTAACTTATTTTCGATATACCCATTTAATTAGTTTCATGTATGTTAGCATGTGACAATAGATATTTGAAGCTTAAATGATGGATTGCCGAAGAAATTAACAAAAAATTCTTATATTTTTGATTTATGATCATACAAACATAATGACTTACAACAAATATCATTATAATACATAATTACCATAGTTGGATCTCAAATTAAAAATATTATTATACTTGGATATTATTCTCAATAATTTTCAATTTTGCTTTATATGAGATTCAAACAGACCATTAGATACATGTTATAGCCAATCAATATTTTCATAAGAATAAAAATTTTTTAGAATATTGTTTTATGTTTTTTATAATTGACAGTCTATTTGTATCTACCTATCTTAAAATACATTTTATGTTTGTAATCGCTCTTCCACCTATAACAATTTAGAACAATTCTGAATATTTAAATGTTTTGATATGGATAATTCAGTTATACCAAGATTGACTAAGTCTCTTGGTATGAATAGTGAACTTGAGAACATTCACTTGATTTATATTAATAAATTTGTGTCAAATTCAAATAATTGTTATTAGTAATCTTAATTTATTCAATATATATGACTAAAAACAGTTTACTTGTTTCTTACTAATAGAAATCTTCTATTTATTTTTCAAGTATAAAAAAAGAAAAAAACGCGTGGCACTTAATTCGAACTCGGAACCCCAAAAATAAAGCCAATCTAGCGGTTGTAACCGTTAGACTACACCTCAATTTCATACAAAGTAAATTTCACAGATATTTATGCGGCCCACCCTGTCAAAAAAATAAGACCAAAAGTGAACTTAAGACTCAAATTTTCCGTATACTGTGAAATAAGTTTAACCCTAATAATTGATATTTTCAGTTATTGTTAGAACAATGAGGGCTTTGTAATACTATATACAAATTCATTTGATTTTTTAACTTTTTTTTTGAAACATTTAATACACTAATTATAATAAATATCTCATTATTTTACAGTTATCTTGATCATTAAAATCAATTGAATTTTGATTATAAATTTGAGATGTTTACACAAATTCAACAATAATCGAAAAACGCCATATATCTAAAATCATATCTTCCAATGATTTGGATAATTTGAATTTGAATCAGCATTATTGAAAAAGGTGACATTGACATCACAAACGATGAAAACAGTATTTAGTCACTTTTCTTGGTCATATCACTTTTGATGACCGTTCCAACCCGTCATATCCTCACAGCCACATCCTTCTCTGCTGAAGAGTTCCAGAAGACCCTCGATCTCGCCATCGACATCAAGGCTCATCCACAGAAATACGCTCACGCCATGAACCAGAAGACACTTCTTATGCTCTTCCAGAAGCCATCCCTCCGTACACGTGTTTCCTTCGAAACAGGTATGGCAAAGATGGGCGGCCACGCCATCTTCTACTCCGTTGCTGACTCCCCACTCGGCGCTAAGGAGACAATCGCTGATACCGCCCACGTTCTTGAGCGCATGGTCGATGTTGTTATGGCCCGCCTTAACAAGCGCGCTGATATCCGCGAACTTGCTGCCAACTCCAAGATCCCAATCATCAACGCTCTTGATGATTTCGCTCACCCATGCCAGATGATCGCTGACTTCCAGACAATCCTCGAGAAGCGCGGCACACTCAAGGGCACAGTTCTCACATACTTCGGCGATGTTGCAAACAACGTCACATACGATCTCATGAGAACATGCGCTCTCTTCGGCCTCGAGTGCCACGTTTGCGGCCCAGCCGACACACACTACGCCATCGAGAAGGAGGTTATCGATGAGTGCGAAGAACTCAACAAGAAGACAGGCGGCAAGCTCCTCGTCACACACGATGCTGATGAGGCCTGCAAGGGCACAAACGTTGTCTACACAGACACAATCATCTCCTACCACATTCCAAAGGAGGAGCTCCCAGAGCGCCGCCGTGTTTTCAAGCCATTCCAGGTTACACAGGAACTCATGGCCAAGTGCGAGAAGGATTGCATCTTCATGCACTGCCTTCCAGCTGCTCGTGGCGATGAAGTTACAGCTGAAGTTATCGATGGCCCACAGTCCGTCATCTTCGACGAGGCTGAGAACCGTATGTGGGCTCAGATGGCTCTCCTCATCCACCTCACCTATGGCTTCTAAGCAATTCTAAACAATTTATAGTCACAACTATAGTTTTTTTTGGATAAAAGAATTAATTTAGTCAATTAATTTGCACTATGTGACTTAAGAATTTCTATAATTTTTTCATATTTATTTATTGATGCGCAATCGAGTGCAGTATTTCCTGAATTATCTTTTTCATTGATATTTGCTCCATGAGAAAGAAGAAGTTCTACGATTTCTTTGTGATTAGATGATGAGGCACAATGAAGAGCTGTGCGTCCGGAATTATCTTTTTCATTGATATTCGCTTTATACGAAAGGAGCAATTCTACAATTCCTTTGTGATTAGATAACGATGCACAATGAAGAGCTGTGCGCCCAGTATTGTTTTTTTCATTAATATTCACTACACGTTGAATAAGATTTTCTACAATTTCTTTACAGTTATTTAATGTCGCATAATGAAGAGCTGTATTTCCGTAATTGTCTTTTTCATCAATATTCGCACCATGCCGAAGAAGGAGAAATACAATTTCTATGTCATTAGTTGATGATGCACAATGAAGAGCTGTGCGGCCAGAATTGTCTTTTTCATTTATATTGACAGCATGTGATATAAGAAATTCTACAACAATTTTGCTATGGGAAGATGATGCCAAATGAAGAGCAGTATTTCCACAATTGTCTTTTTGGTTAATGTTCGACCCATGAGAAAGGAAAAATTCTATAATTTCTTTGTGATTTGTTGATGATGCACTAAGAAGTGCTGTATTTCCGGAATTGTCTTTTTCTTCAATATTCGCTCCATGCAAAAGAAGAAATTCTACGATTTCTTTATGATTAGTTTGTGATGCGCAATGAAGAGCTGTGCGCCCAGATTTGTCTTTTTCATTGATGTTTACTCCATAAGAAAGGAGATATTCTACAATTTCTTTGTTATTAGATGCTGCACAATGAAGAGCTGCGCATCCGGAATTGTCTTTTTCATTAATATTTGCTCCATGAGAAATGAGATATTCTACGAGATCTTTGTGTTTAGATGATGAGGCATAATGAAGAGCTGTGCGCCCAGATTTGTCTTTTTCATTGATATTTACTCCATAAGAAAGGAGATATTCTACAATTTCTTTGTTATTAGATGCTGCATAATGAAGAGCTGCACGCCCAGATTTGTCTTTTTCATTGATATTCAATCCATGAGAAATGAGATATTCTACAATTTCTTTGTTATTAGATGCTGCATAATGAAGAGCTGTGCGGCCAAATTTGTCTTTTTCATTGATATTCGATCCATGAGAAAGAAGAAGTTCTACAATTTCTTTGCTATTAGATGCTGCACAATGAAGAGCTGTGCGGCCAAATTTGTCTTTTTCATTGATATTCGATCCATGGGAAATAAGAATTTTAATCAATTCCTTATTACTCTTCATAACGGCCCAATGCATAGCTGTGAAACCAAGTATATCTTTTTCATTGACATTTATCCCAATATTAATTAGAAATTCTATTGATTCATTGCAATTATATTGTGCTGCCAAAAGAAGTGCATTATTATTGTAAAGTTTTTCATTAATATTAATATTGCATTTCAAATAGAAATGCTCACAAAGAGATTTGATATTGAATAGAGATGATGCAACAAAGCATTTATTGAGTAGAGATGGTGCAACAAGCCAATTATTGAACCTGGAAGTTTGATATATATAAACAATAAATGCCTGAAGATTATTGAATTCAGCACATGTAATTAAATTGATATTTATATTGTATTCATTCATCAGAAAAGTTACAAAATCAATGTTATGAGAAGCAATAGCATTTCTCATGCAATATTCATCAGGGTGTCTCATTTTCAAGCATTCACTAATGATTTCTGGATTTCCTCCCAAAAACGAAAAATTAAGACAATCTTGTGTGATTTCAGGCTCGAAAATTGAATATAATAATTTAAAGCAATCAATAGAACCATTGTAGCAGCATAATTCAAGTAATGTCATTTTATTACTTGGATGTAATTGACTCTCAATTGTTTGATATTCATTAAAATTTTCTGATGTTATATAATAGCAAAATAATTTTGAGTTATCATCCCTAATGGCAGGAAATACTCCTTCTTGTAGCCTCTTGTTTAGTGATTCATAGTTTTCAAGCAAATTTTCTTTATTAAGACCAAATTCACTCGAGAACTTTCGAAGTAATTGAATGTATGATTTGAAGTAACGATTCCTGTATTTCATTGCGGTTTCAATCATTTTAAAAGCATGATATGCTGAATTTTCCGAAATTATGCTTAAACTTTTTTTAATAATTTCGTATAATCCTTCGACGGCATTTTTATCCAATGTATTCAGTTTATATATCTTATCAGATGTATCTATATAGTATTTATATTCGTCTATAAAATTTTGATATCCAATATCGGATAGATCCATCTTTGAAAAATGTTTTTTTGGCTGGCTTTTTTATATTTCGATGGTTTTAATTTTTCCACAGTGAAATACAAAATATGTTCATGCTTGTTGATTTCCCTTGCTAGACACTATAATTCATATTATTTCAGGTTTTTTTTTAAAAAAAAAATATGAAATTTAGATAGCTAATTTGATTTAATTAAAGACGACGAAGCCGCGCGCCGATATAAGCTGATAAATTTCACATCTAAACTTCCATAGTGCTTTTTTAATTAACTTAAATATTTTATTATTTCATGACATCAAGAAGTTGATTTGATTCGCTATTATGAGGATTAACATTTGTAGGCAATTTGAAAAAAAAAGACTGTAATCTGAGTGTGGTATCTGGATCATTGTTGAGTATATAAACTGAGAAATAACAATGCCTAAAAAAAATTCATGAATAGAAAGTTTAATCAAAAAAATCTCGAAGATTGGTTTATGGATATACTTGCATTTTATTAAACGTAAGAATGTCGCTTTGCCAAAAAACGGATATTCTAGCAACTCTATCCAAATATCCTATGTATTTTAAGAAACTTGGGGTCATAGTGTATTGTACGAAGCCTTTTTTCGTAGGATTGGGAGCTATGGAGCTCCTGGAAAGGTTTAATAGCATAGTGTTGAATAATTAAAAATGTTATTTCTGGTAGGATTTCTTTATTTATTCATATCAAAACACTAATTTTAGGAGAGGTAAAATAGTGGCTCATCTAAATGATCAAAAAAACCAAAGGATATCACTTGATTTGAAGCAATTTCGATATGTCGAAGGATTTGTGACGAAAGAGTATTATATTATGGATTATTGTCAATATGAGATGCATACAAGCCCTAAAACACTATAATATTGAAAGAAAAAACGAAACCGTTTATAAAAAAAGCTTTATATGTCAACAGGAGGCGAAGCACAACAGCAACCACCACCAACACCCCCGCCTCAACCGCAACCACAGCCATCACCTCAACCGCAACAACCAGATCAACAGCAAACAAACTCAAGATTACCTCCAACACATAAAATCCGTTCATCAGTATTCTATTATTTCCTTTTACAGCTTATGTGGCTTTGGAATTTAATAGATACAGTTATTTTAATTATTATTCAGTCAATGAAACTTTATCAATTCCCTGCACCGCGCGGACCACGCAATTTTGCAATGATAGCACCATTCTTGCTTTGCTTGTTCTATTGCATTCGCTTGTGGCTTGCAACTCCAGGTAACAGAAGTGAAAAATGGGTTTTATTACTTCTTTCCATAATATTCCTTATCGGTTGCGTTCTTATGGATGTTTATTTCATTGTCTGGCAACCATATTTGTGGAAATGGGAATTTCCATTCCACATTGTTTCTTTAATATTCGAAGTTATCTTCTTCTTGTTTACATGTTTGATGATCATTGTTTTCTTAGCTAAAAAATAAGAATGTTGTATATTATTAAGCTTATCTGGCAGGTGATTTTTTACCAGAGCCGGAGATTTTTTCAAAAAATTTCGGTCCTCGGGCGATAAATCGTCCTTGATCAAAATGAACACCAATCTGTTGTTTTATGTGTTGAAATCCATTTAGGACCCTTTATTAATTGGATTTTTTATTAAAAAAAATATTCACAAAGAATTGAAAAATTAGACTTAATAACTATTTGCAATGATGATTTGTACGCAAACGTAACAGTGTATACTTTAGATATTTCTGATATTCATGTTTTTATGCAATCACATTTGATGATTGTCTAATATTATGGAAATTCAACACTTATATGAGATTAGTGTTATTTTTATATAGAAAATAATATGGTGAGCTTTTATCAAAAAATAAAAATAATAAGAAAAGATAATTTTAAAAAACACGACAAAAAATAAATAATAGTCAACAATTATTTGTTTTCAGAATGAGCAGTTCTGAAAATACTATTTCTGGCAAGAATAACTCATTCATAGTTAAGAAGGAAAACAAACATTGCTTATTCTAGCATTCATGATGTTCTTGCACGCTGACCTGTAACTATTTCCCTTAAATAGGAAAAATAACGTTCTGATGAAGCTTTTGAAGCAGAAATTGCAATTTTGGCAAGTTGATTGAAATCTTGATCTTCTTTCTATGTTTCCCATGTAACAATCAGTTGTAATGGATCGATGGATTGATCATTTGTTTTTTGAGTCCATCTGATACCAGATTTAAAAGTATTATATTACTTAACGACTGTTTCATGTTCAAGATTCATTTCTAAAGCTAGATTATCTAAATGGTTGGCTTTAGAATGACAGTCGAAGTTGTTGAATGAAAGGTAATTATTGAAATTAGCGCAAGAGATCAAAAATTAGAGTTATAAAAGTGACATTATTCGCAAAACGACATCCTGAAATTAAACATGGATATAACATTTAATGAGGAAATTGAGTTATTGTAAACTATTCAATAAAACGATCGTTGTAAAGTTGTCAAACTTTTTACCCGGCCATTTAAAATATGCTTGCAACATTTGCTAGAAACTTTGCAGCTAAAAAGGTTACAATCAAGCCACTTGGCAGCCGTGTTGTTGTAGAACTTAACAAGGCAGGCAAGCAAAAAGTTGGAAACCTTTATGTTCCAGAATCAGCTCAAAAGACACCAAATCAAGCCACAGTTATCGCTGTTGGCCCAGGCCAAAAGAGAAATGGTGTTTTTGTCCCAACAACACTTAAGCCAGGACAGAAGATTTTAATGCCAGAATTTGGCGGTCAAGTTCTTAAGTTCGAGGGCTACGAGTACACAATTTTGAATGAGGAGGATATTCTCGCTGTCTTTGAGTAAATTTATTAAATAAAAATATTTATGGGATTATTAGTCTCGGTTCTTTTTCACAAATTACAAATAAACACTTTAGAAATACAGAGCATTTAAGAGCGCCCTTTTTCACTTTATTTTTGCTCCCTAGGGTCCTAAAATCTGATTTTTATGAGCATAATGTTATTAGACCGGGAAATGAATAATGCATTAGATTTTTTAATATAGAGGCATGCTTAAACCTAGAATTATGATATGAATCGAAAACAATTTTCTGTGAACAGAAATATTTCAGTGTTCGATGGCATATTTTCATCGGAATGGCACAAAGTTCTCTTATTGCTTGTAATATACTCAATTTCAATAAAAATAATTTTAAAAATTGTAAAACATACTCAAACTATTGTTTTCATTGACAAACATGAGCACACGAAAGTCACAAAGTGCTCGAGGGGCATCAATATGATTATTTTATAATCTTTGGTAAAAAAATTGTCCAAAAAAATAATTGTGATATTTTTTTGCTTGATAATATTTTATGGACATTGGAATTTTATTTACTCCTCATCAGCCTTCTTTGTCTGTGCATGAGCCCGCATACGTTTCTTACGGCCGAGCTTCTCGGTGGCCATGACGGAGGTATCTGCGTACTTGATGTTCTTCTCAGATTCCTTCCAAACAAGGAAAGCTGGCTGGTTGACAAGCTGGTTCTCGACAGAGATGTGGCGGTGGGAAACAAGAGTACGAGCGTGGTGGACAGAGTTTGCAAGAGCGCGCTTGTGAACTTGTGTCTGGAGACGGCGATCCATAAGATCGTTGACTGTGAGAGAAAGGACATAATCGAGCTTTTGCTTGGACTCATCGAGAACACCGAGCTTTGTGAGGCGGCGAAGAAGAGCTGCACCTTCGAAGATACGCTTGGAATCGTTCTCTGGGAGGGTAAGAAGCTCACGAGCAGCGTGGCGGATCTTGGAAAGTGTGTATGAAACGCGCCAGATCTCACGCTTGTTCTTAAGACCGTATTCACCAACAACTTGAAGTTCCTTGTGCATGCGTTCCTTTTCGTATGGACGCATTGGTTTCTTGAATGTACGAGAGAAGTTGCGGCTCGACATTAGAGCTAGAAAGGATCGACCAAGACTTTACAAATCCGCTCAATTTGATTGTTGAGAATTGTGCAAAAATAATATAATAGATACAATGTAATGCAATTGAAAGTAATAATTATCATATTTTGATGCTCTGAGAGAGATTTTCAAAATTCAATGAAAATTTGTAAATTAAAAGTGACATTTCTCAATAGATTCCGAATATTCTTCTTCTTATGCAATTTGGACAATACTGAGTTAAAATTGATATTATATAGACTCTCAGAAATTGAAATTATTAAGATATATACCATAGTTAAGATGTGATTATCTTCCTCTTTGATGAGTTATCATTTTTTTGAGTAAAAACACTCACAATATCTAAAGAAACAGCTGAATTTTATATTCTTTACTTATATTTTCTAAAATACATTTTTTTTCAAATAAAATAATGCTGCTGACATGTATATATAATAAACTAGTAAGATGTTTTAAAAGTTCTTTCCAAAAGTATTTTTTAAAAGTAAAATATTTATAAACAAACAAAAAGATATATAATATAAAATAAAATCAAGTAGTTAACTGAGAAATGAAGTGGTGATCAACCCAAGTTGTAAGACCTGTGTAAGCCGTGAAGCAAATCCAAATCAAAGTAGATATAAGAACTGTATTAAAAACAAAAGAAAGCACATTATATGTTTCTGAGCCGTCGCTGAAGTCTGTATAGTTACCGTACAAACTATCGCCAAAAATCATAGCAATGTACAGTTTGAATATCTTCACAAATGAATCAGCAGCTGAAGCAACAAATCCAAACAAGAAAATGGCAGCGTAAACAAATCCCATTAATACAGGAAGCTGACTAACAAGCATAATCATGAGCATTTTCATGCCGTTGACAATCAGATAGACCAAACTATATATCTTTGGCCAGTTCATCATCCATCTAAGCATGCATGACAAATTAATCAAAGATGCGAACCCGAAAACGTACAAAGTAGAGTTCTTTGGGTACTGAGATAATGTCGATAGCTCATGGATGATGAAAATAGATACAATCAGAAGCATTGCACTCTTTACAAGGAAAAATGAATTCCATAATCCAATTGATGAATGGAATTGATCAAATGTAGAGTACTCTTGGTAAATTCCTTCATGAGAAAGTCTGTTTTTATGCATTTTGAAACCATTAGCAAGTGTCAAAATGTTAATATATATAATCCAAGGCTTGAAAGTACAATAAAAAGAATTCCGAATCGTTGCATTGGCATATAAAGAGATATGACAAAACAATTAAACTTGTCTGATGTCCTTTCATGTGCTGGAGGAACAAAAGTTTCTAATCTTTCTTCTTTTATTGCGAGTTTGACTGCTTCTATAAGTTTTTTATCGTATTTGGCTCGGTGGGGATCGTATCTGACTCTATCTGTCCTGAAATTCAGTACATTATGCTTGCCAAGTTTTCTTTTTCTAGTTAAATTTTTTTGTTCAACTCTATCATATGTAACTTTTCCTCGGCAGTAGCTTCTTTTGAAGTATGAGGATGGAAGAAACTCATATCCGTTGTATCTCGTGGAAATTGTCATCCCTAAATTCCAATTTGTGCATCCAATTACGTCTGTATCGTTTGAATACGTTAAAAAGTCTGTAGAAATGTCTAATGATTCGATGTGATTGAAAAATTTGCTATCTATATCAACAGTAATACTATCTGTTGTAGTTCCATTTTTATATTTAACAATTAATTTGTAAGGATGCGTCGGATCTATGAATTCCATGTTGGAGAATGAGTTTTTAGTAAATTTCTCGAAATTTGAAATAAATTGATTGATATAATCTGAAATCTCATCAATGTGCATGAAAGGTTTATCTTCTTCGTGGGAGGAATAGAATAAATCAATGAATTCTTTGCGAATGTGATACACACCATCGATGGTAGGGGCTACTATATCGACACAAAAGAAGAAAATGCACAAAATCTCAAGAAAATGGAAGAGAAAAGTCCATGGAGGGATGTAGTAGGTTCCCCACTTGAACATTACTGAAGAGATACTTGATGTTATGGGAGGCAGGTTCTCTTGTTTCACGAACCTAACTCTCAACACCATCAAGATTTATGTTGTTTTTCTGAGAAAAAAAAAAAAAAAAAAAAAGGTAGTGGGGCTTCCAGGCGCGTTGCGCCCTCTAGCCCTGAAGATGTTTAGTATAAATGAAGTTTATATTCGGAGGGCTTCCAGGGGCTGCGCCCCTTCTAGCCCTAAGAAATTTTGCCCAAGACCCAAGAGGAGGACCGAACTCCAGCCGACCAGCCGTTGACTTTTTTGTAGAGCACTCAAAATAGTATAACTTTGTCCGGACAAGTAAGGGTCTATCGTCGCTACAGGAAAAGTTACAGGCGTTCCAAGGAAGTATACTTTGAGAAGCCTTTTCCCCTTATAGAATGAGATAGGACGGTTATTTTACAAAACCGACAACACTTTGACCGAGTAGTTTTTTGTGCTGAACAAAAAGTGTCATATAAACATCTGTCAAAAACCGCTTTTTAACTTCACTTAAAATGCCACGTAAGCTACGTAAGAATATACGTAAGAGGAAGAGAGCATTGAAACATCCAATAGTAAAACTGACACCACAACAACAGTTGCAACAACAAATAATGAATGACCCCACTATGTTGCAACAAATGTCAAGCAATCCTATGCTTTTAAACCGAGTTATTGGTGCACAGAGTGGAGGTTTAAGAGCGGCACTTTTAGCGAAAATGGCAGGCTATGGTGGAGCTGCAGACGGAACAGCTTATAACCCTCAAAGTCAAATGAATTTGAGTTCACTCAAAAATCAAATATCAGATGTCAAAAAGTCAAACATAGACATACAGAAACAAATAGGTGAAAACGAAAAGAAACTAGAATATGACAGACACACAAAGAAACTCAATGAGTTAAACGTAGAGAAAAAGAAGAAAGAAGAACAACTGAAAGAACTAAGTACAGAGGAATATGCGAAAAAAGTGTCAGAAAAAGCAGCAGAAGTAGCAAAAATGGAACAAGATGTTATAAATTTGAAAAACCATACTACTCAATATAAAGTACTGAAAGATGAAGAAATAAAACAAAAAGCCCTGAAGACATATATGGATAGCGATGAGTATAAAAAAGAAGTTGAAGCAAATGTAAAGGCAGAAAAACTTTTACAGTTGCAAAACCAAACCGTACAGTATGAAAACTTAGCACAAGAAAGTAAAAATAACGACGCAGCCATGCAAAAGGCAATGAAAAGCGCAGAATATATAAAAGCTAACAATGACTGGTTAGATGCCCAAGCCAACGCTAAAGCAGCCCAACTTATAGGGTCAATAAGGACAAAAATACAAGCGGATGAAGACAGTTCAAATGAAGCTTTAATGAATGCTGACTTTAAGAACGCCTTCGAAGCTCTTCATAGTAAGGTGAAACTAGTGAACGACTTCTCATCTGGAAAGAAACTGAAGTCTGAAGGTTTCGACAACGAGTTAAGAGAAGTAGCACAAAATATGACGAAAATAACAGATGCAGCAACGAGACAGGCAGTTCAAAGTGCCTATGACGCCGTTAGAGCAACTGTTGTGGAAAGTCAAGAAAAAGAGTTACAACAGACCAAAACAGACCTAGTAAATGCTTTCTTAAAAACGAAAAGTCAGGTAGGACATTATGCTGCAGATGGAACATATGTGCCAGCTGGTGGAACTTATATACCACCAAACCCTCCAAGAGAAGCACCTGCACCAGGACTACCTAAAACATTTACATCGTCACATGGACACAGACACAGGCATGCACCAAAACCAGCACAACAACCACCTCCACAACCAGCACAGCAACCAACAGTTCAAAACCCTGCACAACAACAACCACAAACAGAGCAAGGACATAAAAGAAGTAGAGAACAAGGAAACCAAGATTTCTTAAAAATGCTTAAAGAAGACTATGGTTACCCAGATACTCTTGACTTTAGTGACAGATATAAAGAAGCTATTAGAAAGTTCAAGGAAGGAAATACTGACCCGAACCTATTTAGCTTTATGGCTCAGCACCAAATGGGATATAATTTCAAACCTGGAAAATACAAGCTCGCTAAGGGATATGATTTAATAGCATATCATCCAAATGACATGACTGAATTTACTTCGAGATATTTGGTGTCAGAGCTAAATGACAATTCAACTCTCTTCATGAAACGCGTAAAAAATAGAGACGGAACGAAAGAAGAAAGGTTTATGAGTCCGGATGACTTAGATAGGGAACTTGTTAAAAACGGTCTCGGAATATATGAAATGCCAGCAGATGAGGTACAAGAAACTCCACAGGAAGAAGTTCAGATACAACCAGACATGGAAGAAATAGTTCAGCAACAACAGCTAGAAGAGCCTGAAGGAAACGAACAAGTCCCTCCTTTGGAAACTAACTTCACAGAACTAGATGAAGATTTGGAACAGCCGAAAAATCTTGACCCTCAACAAGACTATGAGGTGAATATGGAATCTTTCCAAGAGTCTAAAAAAAATTCGGCTGGCATAGTAGAAGAATATCGAAAAATGTTTGCCGACATACAAAAGACTCCAACACCAGATGAAAATATTCAGCATAGAATGGAAGTACTGAAAGAAAATGTACACAAATACAACAACCCTTTTTACTTACGACCATATAACGTTCAATCTTTGGCTGAACTCGGTGAAAATAAAAGGTTAAATTTCAACAAAACATATAGAAATGAAACATTGTTTAAAGTTCATTCAGAACCTAACCAAGATGGAAACAAACCTACTTTTGTTTCTGCAGACTATGGAACTACAATGAGATGGGGTCATAAAGCTAACCCGGATAGGTGGTTCATAAACTTACAACCACAATTCCAAGAAGTTGTAGACGCAATGGAAGTCAATGGTGAACCAGATATAGCTGGTATTTTCAGCGCGGCTTTAATGCCATTGAAAGATATGAAAGATGCAGATATTTTGGACCAGTATGAAATGAACATGGCTGATGGAAATATAACACCTGACGTTCTAGAACATTTATCTCAAAGAACTACACAAAACCATAGAGATGGTATATTTGGTGAAGAGTTTAGAAAGAAAGTTAGGGAGGGAGAAGGAAGAGAACCTATTGTACATGACCTTGCAAACGAAAGTTTACAAAATGTCATAAAAACTTACTTTGCAGACAATGAACCGAGAAGGGATGAATATTTAAGAAAACTCAAATGGGCAGTACCAAATGAAATGTTAGTATTGAAAAACATGTTCCTTGACAAAATAAAACCAACTACAGAAATAAATGACGCAAGACTGAAACATTGGGTAAAAGCTTTCCCATTCACAAAAGATATTATTGGTAACATGGAAAGAAAACCAGAATGGCTACAAAAACATATATTTGGAAACGAGCTTATTCCATATGGACAAGCTCTGTTTGAAGAGCTTGAACCGGAAACTCAGGAAAGAGTCATGCAAACAATACGCGAAGACTCAAATACAAACTATGACAAAATCTTTCTAGGATATAGGTTACCTGAGATGGGCGACCAGAGCCCAAAGGCAAAAAGGACATGGGAAATTTACAACATACTAGGTGAACATGAGGCAAAGATGCAACAACTTGAAGCAGAGGGCAAGTTACCAAAAGCGACACCAAAGAAGAAGAGAAGAGTAGAACAAAGTGAAAGTAGTGAAGAAGTAACTTCATCTAGTGAAAGTAGTGGCAATGAAGGAAAAAGAAGAGTTAAAAACTCAGCCAGGAAGAAAGTAAAGCTTGGTCCACGTGGGTTCTATTATGACACATAAATCCAACTATTCTATATTTTTACCCATATGAAATGTACGCCGCTCAGAATATAACGCCAACAGTTTTGGATGCCATGAACGGAAATGTTTCCGAATGGTATAACGAATGCGACAATGCCATTAGAAGGTCAGAAATAGTTCCTGGAACTTACGAATATACAACTGCTGTTTCTTATGGAAATGTAGGTGAGTTTGGTGAAGGTTCTTCAACAACAGTAGATATTGCATGCGACAGGTTTCACATTATTTCTATTGACAACTCATTCTTATACGTGGAACAAGACATTGAAATAAAACCTTCTGCCAAGTTGTCTGACAAGAAAGGTTGCAATGGAATTTTCTATGTCGGATACCAATATGCTCCAGAAGTTTTCATGGGATATAAGATATATTCTAACTCTGACTTAGTTCAAACAGTAACATGGGCAAACTATGAATGGTTCGCTTTGAGAAACTCAGTACAACCACAAGCTAGAGAACAAACAGACCAGTATGCAACTATTGAGAAAATAAGAAGACTTGACCCTAACGTTCCAGGAGTTTATGTTAACCTTTCTGGACAAACTGCAGCAGCAGTAACCAAAGTAAAACTGAAACTTAGAGTTCCTTTGTCATCTTTCCTCATCTTCAGGTTTTTAAGATACTTGCCAAACTGGGCAGGAAAAATTTCTATCGAACTTACTCCAAGCAAAAATAACTTAGTCATTGCACCAACACAAGACCCATTCACTATTACAGACGTAGAGGGAACAAATAAAACGTCATTCGCCGACTTTTGCAAAGACAAAGTTGACTTAGACTTTGGTTTCTCAAACCTCAACACTGAAGTAAACTATTATTTCAATGCTGCTGGAACTGCTTGGGACCCAGTTAAGTTCACATGCGAAAAGTTTGAATGCAAGAGAATAGAAAGCAGACTTGCAGTCTATATGTTGGACCCAGATATTTCAAATGCTTTAGCTGCCAAATATATTGCAGTTCCACTTATGTTCCCTATACACCAAATATCTGTCAAAGACTTTGCAGGTGAAGTTGGAAACCAAAGTGCTGACCCAGGTGCAAGAACAGATATTGCCTTAACAACTGCAATGAAACATGCAGATACTCTGTTTGTTCTTTTCAGACGAACTATAAATGACTATTCTTGTTTCTACAACCCTGGTATTAAATATCATATAAACATAGATGGCAAATATTATCCAAGAGAAGAATATTCTACAGTTGAGGATATGAGGTCATACAACTTGACATTAGATGCTATGAACTTTAACAACAACTTCACAACAACCATTAACCCTGAAATGCAAAGTTCTATTATGCCATATGTGAAAGTATGGACCCATACAGGAAGTCAAAAAACTCAATATACAAATGGAGACCGTTCAAACTTTTGGCTTGGCATTCCATTTGCTGACTCAGAAGACTTTATGGGTGGTATTTCAACTGTTGGTACAGTTCAAATACAATATACTGGTGACAGAGACGGTCCAGATGAATTGAAAGCAAAGAAGTTTACAAAACCAATAGCACTTTTCACGGAAGATGCTCTTTTGAAGATTCGTTCGATGAAACCTGCTGGGGCTCCTCAGATTGGCATAACGACAGCTTCCATCGAGCAGATTTTGGCAGCAGGTCAGTAAGTTGTTCTTGAACTGACTTCTCTCCGTCAAATATTGACAGTACGCCAGTTTTGACATAATATTGTATTATAAACTTACCTTTAGAAATATCTGTAAGTTTTTGAAGTTATATTTTTGTCTGCTTCAAGAACTTTCACCATTTCAGTTATACCAACTTTCTTTGCTTTATGAAAATATTTTGGTTCAGCAAAGACTGCTATTCTATAACATTTACCATTGTTTGTATAAAGAACTATTCTGTCAATGTATTTGTATTGTTTGTGTGTGTAAACTTTGTTCTGCTTCAATTCGAAGAGATATCCGAATACGTCCATCTTTTTATTCTAAGTAAAATGTCATTTCCGAAAAATAGAAGCGTAAGTGTTTCAAAAGGTTTAATGGCGGTGGCAGATGTGAAGTTAAATTCACCAACTCAAACAAACAGTCAAAGTGTTATTGTCAATGTCAAAGACAGAGATGTTGAAGTGGGGAAACCATACGAGGACGAAGATGGTATAACAATTGTTCCTGTAAAAGAACAACCAACATATCCTGAAGTTAGCAGAGACTTAAGTTCTGTTGCAGATATTCGAAACGACTACCAACAACTGAAAGACAAACTTCAAACTCAGGAGAAGATTTGTCAAGCTTTAAGTATAATGTTAAACTTGGTCGAACACAACCCTGTAAAAGTGAACTCATATGTCATTGCACCTCATGAAGTTTTGAAAGAACTATTGAAACTTTTGACAGAGGCAGACGATATAAACATCAAAGAAATAGAACCCGACGTTAGTTGCTGTGGTGTTTCATATAATGTCATTGACAAGATATACGTTATGAAAGGAGGTGAAACGTTGAACTTAAAATATAGTTTCCCAGACGTCATAAAAATATTTGACGACCACAACATTTCATTAAAATTTATTTGCTAAGTAAAAATGTCAAAACTTCTTGAAAGATGTTTGAAGAAAAATAATATAGACTTTATTTCATGTAAAGGACTTTACACACTTTTGAACGATATGAAAGACCCTGTTTTGTTTGTTCGTGTAGACAAAGGAAAGTTCTATGTCTTTACAAAATATTTGAACTTCTTAGACAGAGAACTTCAAGAAACGCCATGTGAAAGTTTAGATGAAGTTCTTCTCCACTTTCAGAAAAACTTTTAAATATATATAAATGGCAGAAGATACAATGGTTTATACTATTACGACTAAAAACCCTGAGTCATATAATTCTATAACAACAAACTTACAAAGTCCTCAAGGACGATATTGTAAACTAACTTTAAACACAATGACGACTAAAGCTTGTTTTGCTCTTTTGACACCAGAAGATTTTATTGTTGTGAATGGTAAAAAATACTCCTTTGAAGATACTTACTCAGATATACCACCAACAGGTTTTGTTGACTTATTTAATACTTTAAGGACGAGTGTAACATGTGCTGCAACTAGAGCAGGTTTCATTATGTTTGGATGTCCGACTGAGTTTACTATAAACAATATGAGCTATAATACAAAACTTATATCTGGTTTTTACTACCAACAGTTTCCTATAACAGGAAAAGGTGTCATACAAGGAATGTCTGTTCCATTGACTTTAAGTACACCTATTTTATATATTGTTTCAAACTTAGGTTCAAAGTGTTATTCGAATGTCGACAGAAACTACTATGACCAAAAGATACTTATGCGTATAAATAACACATTCTCTGCTGGTTTGCCTATTGTTCATTCGAATGCAGAGTTTTCAGCTTTGGTAAACTCAAACACTTTAGCAAACATAAACTTAACCTTAGTTGACGCAAACTTTGTTCCTGTAAAACTTTTATGTCCTATGTATTTGTCAATGACAGCAGAAAGTTTCGAATTGGAAGATGCAACTGGTGAAAGTATTGTATTACAAGAACAACTTCAACAACAAATAGCTCAAGAACAACAAATGCAACAAATAGCTCAAGAATAAAAAAAAATATTTTTTTTATTTTTATAAAAATGTACAGAATAGATGTTTCAGATTTTTATGACTTCCAAACATTCAGAAATATGTGTCCATTTCGAGACTATAACAAAGCAGTCGAGAATTTGAAACGTTTAGTCATTTATGTCGACTCTGCCCCAGAATTTTATGTTATGAAAGAATGGGATGTAGTCTTTAACAAACCAAGAGCAACAATAGTTTCAGAACAAGAATGTAGACAGAAACTTAAGAAAATAAAATTCGTACAAGTTGGCATGAAGATGTTAGATGCTTGGGATATCTTATTGTCAAAGTTAGAAGATTTTTCAGTTCGTGGTATAAAGTTTTATACACCTTCTCCAAACTTCTATTCTATCTTCACTGGATATAAATATGAACAAGTAGAATGGAAAGAAAATATTATAGAAGCTTGGTTAGACCATGTCAAAGAAATTATATGCAATGGAAACGAAAGAGTCTATGAGTATATCTTATGTTGGTTTGCAAACATCTTACAACATCCAAGTGCTAAAAATGAAACTGCTCTCATTATAATTGGAAAACAAGGAACAGGTAAGAACACATTCTTTACAGATATCTTATGCAAACTGTTAGAGGGCTATTCGAATCCGAATATGACAAACTTAGAAAACATCTGCGGTAAATTTAACTCTTCAATAGAGAATATGAAACTTATAGTATGTAACGAACTTCAAAGTATAGATACAACAAAAGTTTTGAACTCAGATGCTTTGAAGAGTCTTATAACAGACAAAGTTGGAGTTGTTGAAAGAAAATATAAAGACCAAAGAGTTTGTGAAAATGTTGCAAATTTCATTATGGTTTCAAACAATGCTGTTCCGATGAAGTTAGAAAGTTCTGACAGAAGATATGTAGTTGTCAGAACGTCAGAAGCTCATATGCAAGATACAGAATATTTTGACGCTTTGTCAGAAACTTTGACATCTGACTTTTACAACCACTTGTTCTCATATTTTATGACATTAGATATTTCAAAGTTCAATCCAAGACAAATTCCACATACCGAAGAGAGACAAACATTGTTAGAAGCAAACAAGAGTGTATATGAACTGTTCATAGATGAAACCGACTTTGAGTGTTTAGATGAAAGGTCATTGTACGATTCGTATAAACAATATTGTCAAGAGTATGGTTATATGACAGCATCTAAACGAACATTCTTGGCAAATGTCAAAAGTCTTTTAGACGTACAGAATGGTGTATATACAAAGAAAAATTTTTCTGAGTAAATTTAAAAAAAAATATTTTTTTTATCCGATAGAAAAGATGACAAAATTCATCTCAGTAAACAAGTACATGTCAGGACTTAAAGAAGAACTAGACCCATTCACATATTTGAATGTTTACTTCTACCATTTTGAAAAGTCTACATTCAGCAAAGTTTGGAACATCGAACCAGTTAAGTTTGCTATTGTGACTAAAAATGGTGCGAAATTTGAAGACTTAGACATAGAAGGTTTGTTAACAGTCAAAGAAAGTTTTGACAGAAGGTTCTCAAACCTTAAAGAAGGCAAAGCATACAAACTTGTTATACCTTATGAACCAAAGAAAGCAGACGACTATGAATATTATGAGTCTAAAGTTGTAGAAGTTCAAGGTAAATTGGGTAAAAAGATTTTAGAGTCTAAGCCAGTGTTTGCTCCTAAAGAGGAAGAGAACATTGACATTGGACCCAGAAATGTTCTCTAAAAATAAAATTTTATTTTTACATGTCAAATTTCTTCTTCTCTGGCTCTGGTTCAGGTTCTTTCTTCTCTTCTTCTACTTTCTTTTCTTCTTTTTCTCTCTTCTTCTTTTCTGGTGGAGTTATGTCAAACTTCTCAGAACCATATTTTTGTAAAAGTTCTTTGTCCTTTAATAGCTCTTCTATTCTGTTTTCTATTTCATCTTCAAGAACAGCGCATGTGTCTTCTTTGCATTCTAAGAAGTTTTGTTGGACTTCATCTCTCCAAGAGGCGTCATCTCTGTCAACAAGTCTGTCATTGACAAATTTTAAGACTTCTCTGCTTAATGTTTTATGGTTCTTGTCATATTCCCAGAAACAGAAACTTTAGAACAAATTCACCTTTCTTGTTTACACTATGTAAGATTTTATGGTCGACAGATGTTTTGCTGTCGAAAAGTTTATCTCGAATATAGATAGCGAAATCGCTAGACATTTTCAAAAAGATAAAAATTTTAATTTTTCTAAAAATATGTTAGAAAAAAAGTTTGCTGACATTGACAAAAAATTTGAGAATGTTTTAAACAAGAACAAGGTGAAATTAGAAAATGCTCAGATAAAACCCATACATGACAAGTTCTTATTTGCTCAGAATGTATAACAGGTCTAATTGCACCGCCTGGGTCGGGTAAGACTTTCACTTATCTTAAAATGGCTGCACAACAACAAGAACTAGATGAGAAGAACCCATTCTATGAGTTAGTTGTTATTTGTAGTACTTCTGGTCAATTTGACCAAACCGTCAATTCGTTCAAAGATATTATAAAGAAGTCTAAGTATAGTATGTATAAAAGACTCTGAGTTGTTAGATTGGATAAAGAAGTACCAAAGAAGAGTTTTGAAGTACAATGCTATAAATGAGTATGTCAATTCGAAGTTTAAAGACCCAAATGAGGAAATTGCAGAGAATATTAGAGAAGAAAACACTTCAGAAACAAACAGAAAGAGATAGAATACATTTCGAAGAGAATTGCAATCTTACGATTGGAAGACTTACCCTCACAGATGTCTTCTTATCTTAGATGATTTCGCCTCTCATCCTTTGTTAAAGAATAGAGAACAAGACATGTGTCGAATTCTTAAGAAGCTCAGACACTTTAACATTTCAGTTGTCATTTGTGTACAGACAGCAAAGAGTTTAAGTAAGGATGTAAAGAGAATACTTACTGACATTGTACTTTTCCCCGGATTGTCCGAAGACGATTTCATGGAACTTATGAAAGAGTCCATGGCAGGTAAGTTTGACAGACATGAACTATGGGAGAAGTACAAAGTCATACAAGACCCTCATACTTCTTTCAGAATTCATATCTACGCGAACAAAGTTCAAATTGTAAAAAGTCAAGCGTAAAAAATGTAAGTGTTTTAGTCTTAGTCTGTTGTGGTGCTGGGGCTTTCGGTTCTTCTGGCTTTGGAATGGACTCGGTTGGTGGTACGTCGGACATTCGTTTGTGTCCTGTCGGAAGGAAGGACTCGGAATGCCAGAAGGAAGGACTCGGAATGCCAGAAGGAAAAACTTTTTCTGTCGGAAGGAAAAACTTTTTCTGAAGTTCGACCAAAAAGTTCTCAATTTTCGAAAATTTGAATGGTTTACGGACGAACAACAGGAAATTTTTTTCCAGTTGTCGGGAAATTTTTTTCCAGTTGTCGGGAAATTTTTTTCTTGTCGGAAGGAAGGACTCGGAATGCCAGAAGGAAGAACTCGGAATGCCAGAAGGATTTGACAAGACAATTTACCTTATAGAGCTACCTGAGCCATCTGAAGTCAAGCGTAAAAAATAAATGGTTCATTTACTCTACTTGTTTGAAGTTGTCAAAATACTCTGTTATTTTTTCCTTTAACAATGGCAAATCTTCTTTGAAGGTAAGTATTGTACAACCTTTAATATCATAGTGTGTTTGAGGTAAAGTATCTTGAACTATTTGTTTCACATCTTCATTCGGTGTCATTGAAATCGGTAAGTTTTCGCGATAGAACCAATTTCTGTTAGATTTGTAAATCTTAGCAAGGTCGTAAAAGCTTTTGTTGTTTCTTCTGACTAAATGCAACATAACCATATCTCTGTCTTCTTCATTTTCCATCTCTTCAGTATAAATCATATACTTATAGTTCTTTTCCTTTCCTTTTGGTACCGAACGTGGTATTCTTTTCTGAAGGCTTTTGTCTTTTGCTTCAAGCTTGTTCTCTAGCTCTTCACGTTCTTGTCTATGAATTTCATCTAACATCATGAAAATATAACAAGCGTAACGAGGTGAAGCCCACATTGCAACAGCATTTACAAGAAGTCTATGTACATACCAGCCTCTCAAACCATTTAGCAAATTTTTACGATTTTCGTACGGAATCTCGACCCGCGGTTTTCCTCGGGTCGCAAACATATGAGGAAATTCTTCTAAAAGTTCTTTTGTCTGTTGGTTTTCAAACCAATGATGTGCTTGCTTTGTAGAACGAAGAGCATTCAAAATACTTTGCATTTGGTACATATCGTCTTTGACCGAACGAATGAGACGTAACTGTTTGTTATACTGTATGTACTCGTATTCTTCACTTATGGCTTCATGAACGATAGCAGTTGTTGTGTTCTCTGTTGTTGTCATATCTGTCTTTACATACAAAATAAAAAAAATATTTTATAAAAAATTAGCGTTATTTTCTTACTTTCACAAAAGACCAAAAATAAACGCTTTACATGTATTTTTCAGCAACTTCGTCAAATAATTTTATAGCTTTACCTATCTCATCTACTTCAAACGTTTCTTTACCTTTCGTGGGAGCACCATACATTTTCTCAAAAACTTCAAGCAGTTCTGTTTCAGCAGCTCTCATATCGTTAACGAACACAACCTTAACTCTATTGACTATACTGTCATATCTTTGAGTTATATTATATGTTCTTCCTATCTTATATCTCTTTGTATTGAAGTCCTTCGGTTTCTGAACGATGTAAAGTAAGCCTTCACTGCAACGTTCCGTATCGAATGAACCATATGTTATGAAGTTATATCCAACAACTGGGTCTAACCATAACAAAACTATTGGTATAAGACTTTTGTCTATAAGATATGCTGCAGTTCCATAGAATCTTACCGATATCATAAGCTCAGGATTTCTTGTCAAAATTTTCTGAGTAGAAGCATTTTTAACCCAGTCCTTTGCTCTCTTTCCAGATGGAGATATAATGTCTGACAAAGAATATTTGTTGTATTTCTTTGAGTATCTTACGTTTAAATCACCAATTCTAACCATTTTGGTGTCATTGTCTATCTTTTTAACTGTTTCAAACTCAGTGTTTGTCATTTTCTGTCTTTACATACAAAATAAAAAATATTTTTTTAAAAAAACTAACGTTATTTTTTCTATCTTGTATAAAAGATATGATTTCAGGGATTTTTTTTACGAAGTGCAAAAGTTCTCTTCGTAAAAATATAACAGTTATATAATGAAATTTGGTCATTTTTTCACGATTTTCATAGAGTTTTGGCGACCCCTGAAAAAGTCGGGGTCGCTGTTTTTCACGATTTTCATGAGTTTTAGGCGAGTAAGATTTTCTATCTTGTATAAAAGATATGATTTCAGGGATTTTTTTGACGAAGTGCAAAAGTTCTCTTCGTAAAAATATAACAGTTATATAATGAAATTTGGTCATTTTTTTACTGTTTTCATGAGTTTTAGGCGAGTAAGATTTTTTCCGTACTCGCAATTTTTCACGATTTTCGAATGGAATCTCTATCCTCTTTTTTTCATGAGGGTCACCAGGTCACTCGGTCACTCGGTCAACTAACATCTTTTTGAAAATGGTGACAACATGACATTTTGACAACAACACAGGAAATAAACTTCTTCGTAAATGTTTTGTCATGACTTCATCGTCAATGAGCGTAAATCAGACAAAAATATATTTTAGGTGTCACCAGGTCCCTCGGTCCCTCGGTCCCTCGGTCAACTAACATCTTTTTGAAAATGGTGACAACATGACATTTTGACAACAACACAGGAAATAAACTTCATCGTATATGTTTTGTCAAGACTTCAGGGATTTTTTTGACGAAGTGTCAAAGTTCTCTTCGTCAAAAATAACAGTTATATAATGAAATTTGGTCATTTTACTCAGCAAAAATATATTTCTACCATAAAGTTTTATAAGCGTTTTACATGGTATATGTTGTGATGGTTCATGACTTTAAACAGTTTTGTAGCTTCTATTTCTTCTTTTAGTACATCGAATGTTTTAACAATGCCGAATGTTTCTTTATATTTCTTCTTGACGTCAGATAGAAGGAAATCGTCAGCAGTTGGATAGTTTTTGTTCAGAAATGTCAACATGTCCATTTTATCTTCTGCTGGTTTCTCTACTTCTTTCTTTAAGTCAGCATAGTCGTTTCGCATACGTTCTATCTCTTTGACAGAATAGTTATATTTCCTTGTTGCTGCTTTACATTTAGAACATTGTGGGTTCATTTTAGCATTGTACATTGAAATTTGTCCTGCTAAAACAACTAAGGCGTAAATGGTTTTCTTTAACTCAAAGGCTGCTGGTTTTATTTGTCCATTCCATACTTTACCTCTTCTATCTTTATCTCTTATCTGCCATACACATTTTGCAACTAACGAAACAAAGTTGTCGTAGGTCTTAAATTCTTCAGATTTATATATGTCCATGACTTTGTGGTTGCAATGAAATCCAAGAAACTCATAGTTAACCTTACGTATGAACTTCTTTATTTCTACTGAGTCAGTTGGTTTCACTTCTATTTCATCGAATTCTGGAATAGTGAGCTTTTGTTGTTGTATTTCAGGAAGTTTAGGTAGATGTTCCACCAGGTCCTGCATTTCATAAAGATATTGTTCATTTGTTTCATCTTTTGCAGTGCAATCTAAATCTCCTTGGAGAAGTTCCTGCTTTATCTTCTGGATTTCTGTTTTGAAAGTATATGAAGAAGGAATGAAGCTTTTCATCTCTACTAACATAGATGTTGGATTCATGACTAACGAGTTTGGTGCTGTTGTTGCTAACATGTTCTTACAATAAAAATAAAAAATATTTTTTTAAAAAAACTAACTTTATATTTTATTTCGGGAAAATTCATGAGTTTTGGTTGAAAAATACGGTGGAGCCAAAAGTGGCTCGACCTCAAAACAAGCATTTTGTGAAGAATATACCAACCGCCGGAATGTCGACGGTTGCTTTTTATACAAAATTCAACGGGTGAAAGAATACGATGAGATCTAACATGCTAACATAAAATATATTTTTTGGTGGTACGTCGGACATTGTTCTGAAGCAGTGCAAATATTGTCTTGAAACAGTACAAATATTGTCTTGAAGCAGTGCAAGTCTTGTTCTGAAGCAGTGCAAATATTGTCTTGAAACAGTACAAATATTGTCTTGAAGCAGTGCAAGTCTTGTTCTGAAGCAGTGCAAATATTGTCTTGAAACAGTACAAATATTGTCTTGAAGCAGTACAAATATTGTTCTGAAACAGTACAAATATTGTTCTGAAACAGTACAAATATTGTTCTGAAACAGTACAAATATTGTTCTGAAACAGAAAATTTTTCTCACAAATTGAGAGTTTTTACGGGAAATTTGTTCTGAAAAAATACAAGTCTTGTTCTGAAAAAGTACAAGTATTGTTCTGAAGCAGTGCAAGTATTGTTCTGAAAAAGTACAAGTCTTGTTCTCGGGTCAGCCGTTCTACATAACCTCAGAAGGCGACATCCAACCAGTTCAGTAAACATCTCATTTTAACTCACTTTTTTTCTATCTTAAGGAATTTCATGAAAATTCAAGAGGGTGACAAAAACATATACGATGAAGTTTATTTCCTGTGTTGTTGTCAAAATGTCATGTTGTCTCATTTTTTCAGAGAAGTTAAAATTACCTGGTGACCTGGTGACCTGGTGACCCCTTCAGTTCTTCAAAACATGTACGATGAAGTCATGACAAAACATGTACGTTCATGTTTGACAAAACATGTACGATGAAGTCATGACAAAACATGTACGAAGAAGTCATGACAAAACATGTACGATGAAGTCATGACAAAAACATTTACGAAGAAGTCATGACAAAACATGTACGATGAAGTCATGACAAAAACATTTACGAAGAAGTCATGACAAAACATGTACGTTCATGTTTGACAAAACATTTACGAAGAAGTCATGACAAAACATGTACGTTCATGTTTGACAAAACATTTACGAAGAAGTCTTGACAAAACATTTACGTTCATGTTTGACAAAACATTTACGATGAAGTCATGACAAAACATGTACGTTCATGTTTGACAAAACATATACGATGAAGTTTATTTCCTGTGTTGTTGTCAAAATGTCATGTTGTCAGTAATTTTAAGAGAAGTTAAAATTACCTGGTAGCACATGGTAACATGGTAGCACCTTCAGTTCTTCAAAACATTTACGATGAAGTCTTGACAAAACATTTACGATGAAGTCATGACAAAACATTTACGAAGAAGTCTTGACAAAACATTTACGTTCATGTTTGACAAAACATTTACGAAGAAGTTTATTTCCTGTGTTGTTGTCAAAATGTCATGTTGTCAGTAATTTTAAGAGAAGTTAAAATTACCTGGTAGCACATGGTAACATGGTAGCACCTTCAGTTCTTCAAAACATTTACGAAGAAGTCTTGACAAAACATATACGATGAAGTCATGACAAAACATTTACGAAGAAGTCTTGACAAAACATTTACGTTCATGTTTGACAAAACATTTACGAAGAAGTCTTGACAAAACATGTACGATGAAGTTTATTTCCTGTGTTGTTGTCAAAATGTCATGTTGTCTCATTTTTTCAGAGAAGTTAAATTACCTGGGGACCGAGGGACCGAGGGACCTGGTGACACCTAAAATATATTTTTCAATACTTTTTCAGCACTTTTCCGTAGTTGTATATGAAAGACAATTCGAGATAAAAGTCATAGTACAATGGTATTATATGCTGCACACCATTTGTTGTGAACCAAACTTGAAAGTCAGAGAAACTGTTACTAGGTGGTTCGTAGAATTTAGAAGCAAAGTCATAAAAGTCCTTACCGATACTTAGAAAACTATTGTTGCTTGAACTGAAACTTGCATGACACATAACATTTTGAGGGTCAAACACGTTTCTATAAACTGTCAAATCTGCTGGTGGAAGTATAAATTTAAATGGACCATCTGGTGGTAATGGTTCGTTCTGGTTTAGTAACCGAAGAAATTGTGCCCAAGAACGTTTGTCTACTCCCCAAAATAAAAACTCTGTATCTCTTGGAGGGTTAATTTCAATCTTTTGAAATGAAACGGTGGAGTTCATCTTGTCATATTCTAGTTTCAGATAGTATGTTCCATTTAGTAAAGAGTCGTATTTTTCTTGAAATTCCCAATAATATTTGTTCATTTGAGTTTGAAAGTCATTTAGAGTTTTCTCAAGACTTTCGTCTGAACGAACTGTAAAGATTCTCATTTCATCAAATTTGTCTATTAGACCGTCAGAACCTTTATACTGCCCATGAAAATATACTGCGAACATAAATGCGTTAGTTCTATTTGAAAACAAAACTCTTCTAAATCCTATTGCCTTTGCATCTGAAGGACTTTGAAGCCAACGAATTGGATAGTCAAACCTGTATGCTCGGGATGAAATTTCTTCATCTGAAATAGTCCTACCAGCATTTGTAAAGATATAGTCTAACGGTTTTGTATCTACTACTTTTGTTCTTTGTTTTTCAACCTGAAGCATTTAATATATGTAAAAATATATTGTTTTAAAAACGTTTTTACTTCATATTTCTCATCTAACAAACAAGTTTCCCAACGGTCCAGCATGTTGTCTGACTGCTTGAGGGTTAGGTTGGTACCATTCGAACTTGACACTTGCAATTCCTTCAATTCCATTCAAAATGTCTGAGTCGGAGTCAACCATTTGTTCTCTCTTTGTAGTCTTGAAAGCGTCAAGAAGCATTGCAGCTGTTGTGACATTGCCATATGCATAGTAAATGTGACCATCCAAATCTGTTATGGTCAATCTGAGATTGTGTCCTTTCTTATTTCCGTCTTGTATGGCAGCAAGTACACCCATGAAGCCTTCTTTGTTCTTTCCTTCGTCAAAGTTTACTGTAAAGGTTCGACCAGATGTAATTTGACTTCTAACTTCACGGTACTTCTCATATGCATATCTTGTTCTTTCCATGGGAGCATGTGTGTCTTCACCTTTTCCTTTTTTCCTTCTCAAAGGATGCAATTGTTCGTCATGTTTCCAGTAGAATCTGGCAAAGCCGTCGTGTCCTT